AGTGCTCGGACAAGGTGACGCAGCGGCGCGCGTTCAGCGAGCTGTTGGTGTCGATGTTTGGGTGTAGTTGTATCTCGCATTCTTCCAGCTTGTGTGGGGCTTCTGCACGGACCTTGAGGAGATCATCATTTCGTATCTTGCGAGGCTGCCGCGAGGGGGACTCGTTTCGCTGGGACGAAAGACGAGATGCTGCGACTTGTGGCGCTGGTATTCGGAATCAGTGTTCATTGGTTTTGTTGCTGACGGAGGAGCTGTTGAGATGTGTGAGGAGTATTCCCCGGACAGATTACAGCTGAAGACTGATGCTCCGTGATGCGAGATTGTGGAGGAGGAGCGGATTATGCTGTCCTGGCTAGTGCGAGGCCGTTAGCGCGGGCGCGGAAGCAGGGAAATTGTTTCAAGAGGCAGATGGTCAAGGGTCGAAATGAGAGTTGTATGCTGTAGAGGGTGGCATTATTTGTGACCGGTTTGATGGAATCTCGGTGGAGGATGTGGCTCGGGCTGCGTGGGACAATTGTATACAGACGTCTGGGTTAGCTGTTCTGGGAGGGATACTGTGATACAGAACTATAATGTATTTTGGACTCCATACAGTACGTATAGCAGAGAGTGCTGACTCCAGCTGTATTTTCCTTTCTGCCAGGTCGCAATCCAACCAAGTCCTCAACGGGAGTCTCCAAAGGTGACAGAGTCAATCGGTCCGGGACGTCCTTCTGAATACTGTCAAGCATGCGTTCGAATTGGCGGCCATGTTGAGGTTCCGTTCCTGGCAATTCCACCGCCGATTATGCCTCCAATATACATCAGTAGGACCTCATAGCGGTAGGGATTCCCCAAAAATATGACAATCCGGCCGAGCCACGCTCTCTTTACCAGCCTCACCTGTCCCAGACAAGAGCAACCGCTTTGTCGCCAGGGTTCCTACTCGTTAAGTCGACTATGAGCTACACTTTCATCAGAGGGCGTACATCGACGATCGACTTGACCTCTGCCAAAAGGTCGGACAGGTTTGGATTAGAGAGATCTGCACAGCCGGGGAAAGAGATAGAGGACTGAGGTCTCGGACTGATACTTGAAACCGAAGGTCGCATTGCTGGAGGTTCTCTGCGGCTTGAGGCGATACTTGAGGACGACGCGCTTTACCAGGGGCTAGAGTCACTGTCGCTGTTGTCAAAGTATCAGTCAATCCACAGTCTAGTTAGTCACCAATATTGGAAATCTTGGGAAATGCATTACCCACTTGAACCCCTGTACCCGGCTCGGCCAAAAGCAGCGCTGATGCTAGGCCGATAACCCCTGCGCCGATCATACCAACGTCCATTCCACACTCAATGAGGGGTTTTCCTCGTCAAACAGACGAGAAGTATCTACGATGGCCTTATAGAATAGACTGATAGCGAACTGGGTCGCATTCCGCGCAGTAGCCAGTCAGAGGACTCCATTGGTAAGCGCATGCGGCAGAAGAGCAGGAATGTCGGTATATGTTGACCGATATCGCATGCTGAGTTGACTTAGTCGTGTCAGCCGCAGTCTAGGTGTTCTACCAACTCCGCGTAAAGAGTTAACAAATATTATCGGATGGCGCCATAGACGGTCCGGAATAGCCATAAGACCAGCTAAGCGCTGTTCCCATGGATTTAACTCATAATAAGGTCTAGCCAGGCACATCAACCTAGAAACCCCAGAGTTGTACCATGGGTAGTGATACTCCACTGCGCGGGAGAGACCCAAGGCGCCACAAAACTCAAAGGAAGAAGACATTGTAACCATGCCACGTATGGAGTAAGTTTGGATTCGTAGGCCAAGACGGCTATGACATATTTCATTTACAACGGCTGTAGTGGACTGGACAGTGGGCCTCCTATCGGGAACAACTTGCCAAAGTCCCCTTGTCAAACAATAAACCACCGGTAATGTCGGTATCAGTATCATTCTGAAGGACCAGAAAGCTTATCGCTGATGATCAACCGACAAGTTATCATTGATGGTCAAACAACTGTGGATATGAATAATGGAACTGAACGGGAGAGGAGTCCTTCCGAGAGCATGGCAGCATGAATCCGAAAAGCAATTTGCACCATTATCATGCCATGCGGCGGACGACCAATCAAACCCAGGCAAAACCAGAGGATCAGAAGTACGAAGCTGGAGGCGAGGCCCCAGATAAGTTCAGCCCAGCCCGGAACGGGAAAGAATAGCGACGGATCAGTGGGCCGAGACGCGGGTTCTCCGGATGCTCGTCGTAATTAATAATCATCATAACCAGGGGGGATGAGGGATAGTAAGTGCTTTTGCTGGTTCTATTTTTCTGTACAGGCTGCAAACGTACATATCTCGACCCTGTCAATATTATCATCTTGTTTGACCCGACGGAATGGTTATGATGTCTCCATCCATGAGATTCAGTACCAGCCCACGCCTATCACAGCCTAACAATAGGCTAGAGCTACACCAACCAGTAAAAGGAAGGGGGGGCGAACGTCGTTAGCGTCTGTTAGCAGCCGGGGATAAAGCTATTGTTTTCCCAATAGGGCAACCCTTCACTCCACTGGTCCCGAGCCAACGCATGCATGGCTTCTGACTGGCTAGAAACAGGGCCCGTGGCACTCCAGGAATCCACTATGACTGCACTGGTTCCCGGAGTCTCCATCCGTCTGCCGTGAAGAAAGCACGGGCATCCTTCACAGTCTGCAGCTGGGTCTTTTGGGGAGTCTGGAAAACATTGGATGCGTTTCCCACCCCTCATCATTGGAAGTTAATGCACGGCCGTCCTCCTTGATCTCCAGTCTCCACTCATTGGTTCCCTTCGAGGGAGCAGACAGGCTGAGACACCCACAGAAAAGCCAGTACGGCATGGAAACTCAAAGTGAATTCACACACACTGTGGCCCCCCAGGCCAGTCTGATGGGTCAGAGCACTGGCCAAAGCCCGAGTGAATGGCACTCCTCAGCTTTTTTTTTAAAACCTGTCGACGACCAACCCGACCCGGCACCATGGTTCTGGCGAGCTGGAGTTTCCCTTCTGCATGAACCACACCTGCAATTGACTCGCTGTCAACGATGGAACTGCTACGTCTCCTGCTTTCGCATCCAGTGGCTTCTGCCGTCGCTCTCGGGGCAGTCTACTTGCTCTGGGTGGTCCTCGACAGGCTGTATCTGTCTCCCATTGCCCATTTCCCTGGGCCCAAACTCGCCGCGCTGACACATCTGTACGAGTTTTATTGGGATACCCTCTGCTGCGGACAGTTCACCTTTCAGATCGGCCGTCTTCATGAGAAATACGGTAAGCCCCTAACCGTCGGCTGTGTTTTGAATCCAGCTGGTCAAGTTCGATAGATCACTTCTTGGCATTGATCCTTGTCGGCTTGACATATGTACTAATGTCATACAGGCCCCATCGTCCGCATCAGCCCGACCGAGCTGCACGTCAACGACCCCGACTACTACGAAGTTCTCTACTCGCGGGACAGCCCTCGCAACAAATATGAATACTACCAGAAGACCCTCAACGCCCCCTTGGCCCTCCTCAACACGATCGACCACCACCTGCACCGCCGGCTTCGCGCCCAGCTGAACCCTTTCTTCTCTAATGCGCGCATCCGCAAACAGGAACCCGCCATCAAGTCCCTCGTCGACAAGCTCTGCCGTCGCCTCGAGGAGCTCAAGAACACCGGCCAGCCGCTCAACATCGAGCACGCGCTCACCTGCTACACCACCGATGTCATCACCAACTACAGCATGGGCGATGGCTACCACTACCTCGACGCACCGGACTTCATCCCGCGGTGGCACGGGACGCTGACCGGCACCGCCAAGACCATGGTGTTCATTCGTCCAGTGGCGTGGGCGCTGCCGTTGCTGCTTGCCCTGCCGGAGCGGGTCACCGCGTGGCTGAACCCCGGGATGGAGCTGTTTTTCGATTTCCAGCGCCGCTGCCGCAAGATGATCAAGCAAATTGTTGCGGCGCATAATGAGAAGGGCGACCAGGCTGTGCAGAATGGAGCGTCGGTGAATATCTTCGAGGATATCCTCCGGAGTGATCTGCCGGCGAAGAACAAGAGTGAGACGCGGCTGGCGCAGGAGATGCAGGTGCTGGTCTCTGCGGGTGCGGAGACCACGGCCAAGGCGATTACGTATATCCTGTTCTATTTGCTGAATGACCCTGAGACGATGAAGAAGCTCAAGGCTGAGGTGGAGACGGTGGGCGAGGATGCGCCACTGATTCAATTGGAGCAGTTGCCTTACCTGGTGAGTTAACATGGCAATATGCTAGACCAGGCTGATACTGACACTGTCACAGACCGGTGTGATGTTGGAAGGAATCAGGTATGCACTACACTGAGTCCGCCCAGAGTGAGTCTAACATATCTAGACTTTCCTACGGCGTCTCTGCCCGTCTTCCGCGGATCGCTCCCTACAACGCCCTCAAGTTCAGAGACTGGACCATTCCCCCAGGAGTATGTGCCCTGACCTCACTATTGAGCAATACTGACCTCCACAGACCCCCGTGAGCATGAGCTGCCTGCTAATGCACCACAACGAAACTGTCTTCCCCGACTCGCACCGCTTCAAGCCCGAGCGCTGGCTCGACCCCGCCGAGCGCAAGCGCCTGGAAAAGTACATGGTCGCCTTCTCCAAGGGATCGCGCCAGTGTATTGGAATTCAGTACGTATGTCTTGCCACTGGACACTCAGCTACTAACTCGATCTACCAGCCTCGCCAAAGCAGAAATCCTCTTGTCCGTGACGGCTCTCCTCCGCAGAATGAACCTGGAACTGTACGAGACCACTGTGGAAGACGTAGCCATCAAACACGACATTTTCATTCCCTTCGCGCGGATGGATAGCAAGGGTGTGCGGGTGTTGATCAAGTGATGAGTTGACGTTAACTGCTGATAACTATTATCTGGCACCTGTACCTACCACTTTCATTTACGATAATCAGTAATGTCTTTTCAAAATTTATCTACGAGTACGATTGCAATGAGAGAGATCCCGATCACTACCCAAACATCTTACCCTCCTCCAGGAACCTCCTCTCCTCCTCGCTTGTCTCCCTCCCCAACGCCGCATTCCGATGCGGAAACCGCCCGAACCGCTCAATGGGTTCATAATGCTCCCTCTGCACCCGGAAATGGAGCTTCAGCTGCTCCTCCAGCCTGTCCCGATTCTCTACGAGAATACGTCGGCACTCCGCCTCGTCATCTGATAACCCCGTCGCATCCCCGTCAAGCAGACGGGTGAAATCCTCCGCCATCTCCTCATACTTGACCCGCGCAAGCTCCTGCATGCGAAGGTCCTCGGCATGGATAAAGGGCATATAGAACCATATGCGCTGGCCCTGGCGGTAGCGGAAGGGGCAGCCACTGCTGGATGGGTATCCTGCTTCCGCGGCTTTGAGGGCGATAGATCTTGCGAGGGGGTCGAAGAATTCAAAGACGATGCGGGAGGATTCGCCCCGGTAGATGTTGCGGGGCAGTTGGTCGAGCAGGATGATGAGGGCTAGCCAGTCTTGTGCGGTGGAGGGTTGACATTTAGACAGAAGCTCCTCTGCGGAAGCGTTGGCCTCGCGGATGGCGGCGAGGACGGGCGAGAATTGGGATCTGGATGGTTAGCTGGAGCTATACATGATGGGATGTGGAGAAGGACGTACGTGCATGCGGCGTCGAAATCGTCGGATTTGAAGAACCATCTCTTCCAGTCTTCCGGGGAGGGGAGGAGCAGGCGCTCGTCTGAGGAGATGTGCTGAAACCAGAACGTGTAGACCTGCGGGAGAATGGATGGGACTAGGAGCTGGTCCAGGGTCGCAGATTGCTTGTTTGCCATTGTAGAAGACGCTCTTCGATACTGTGATGTGAATTGGCGAATCCTTGTATATGATACACGCTGGCTGGGATACTGAGTGCTGCTGTGCTGGGTGGATAAGGCGGTTGAGCGCGTGTACCTCGCGACGCAGTCTTCCCAGATCAAACAGCGAGGGAACTGCCTCCTAATCAATAACCTTCGAGAGATGGGCAGCATCTTTGAATAATCATGAGGCGTTAGTCCAATGGACTTTATACGAGGGTGTCGGACGCTAAATGTCGCGAGGCCGAATCCTGACTAATTGATAGGATGTTTTGAGGGGCTAAACGCGCTTGCTGATTGGCCGAGTCAATCTTTAGAAATAGTCGGACATGTGGATTTATACGAGGCAATGCAGGATGGTTTAATGCTGTAAAATAGAAGGGTAGAAATCCACTTATCCAGGACCATGGACCCGGTAGCCACAGATATGTCTGAATCCCCATTTAGGTGCGGGGGATACCAACCATCCCTCTCCCAGCTGGCTAACCGTTGCAACTGCGGAAATGCGGGGAAATTGATAAATGAGATCCCAAGAATGCCAGTGGGGAGGTCCTCCGTCGAGTTCACGCGATCAGGATAAAACTGGCAGGAGAATGGTAGTCCGAACTGAGAGGATGGTCGTCATTGCAAACAGTTTCTCATAGATTCTGGCTTGTTGGTTTTTCATTTTTTATTCATCACTACCAGAACTGACGGTGTAGTGATTCCGTCCGCTCGGTTAGGTATAGATGACCATTCACAAGTAGCTTTCACCATGATAGTGGTGTTGATATCTGGATCCTGAATGTATAGTGAGCTATTGATCCTTCGAGTTAACATTATTGCAGATTTGCAGTTACTACGTCATCCCCTTTGTACTCCGATCGATCGATCGTGCATTTATAAACAGCATTGTCCGCATCCAGATCACCACATTCTTCCACATCATGACCAATCCCAATGGCTCCATTATCCCGAAGATTCCTCTTTGGAGGTGACCAGTAAGTCACTTTGCCTCGTGCCTAACATAGCTAATGGTATAGACCATGGTCCCGCACGAACTGGACCTCCTCCGACGACCGCGTCCGGGGCGGGTCCTCATATTCCAGCCTCAGCATTCTCCCGAACGACACGGTCCAGTTCCACGGACATCTGGACATCACCACCCTCGGCGGAGCAGGATTTGCCTCGCAGCGCACAAGGGATGATTTATTCTGGGATCTGTCCGACGCCGACGGGCTCGAGCTGGACACCGCCGGCTCGGACGGGAAAGTGTACACTCTAGTCCTTAAAGACAAGCTACTGCCAAAGCCGCCTGATGGACGTGAACAGAGTACGGTTAGCTGGGAGTACGACTTCCGAACCGCGGAAAAGGCAATTGTGAGAGTGGAATGGGGGAATCTACGAGCAACGTATCGCGGGAGGGAGATTGATGCGGAGCCGCTGGATTTAAAGCATGTCCAACGGATTAGTATTATGATTCGCAGGTATGTGTTAGTTCACGGGTATAATTGATATTGACATGTGCTAGTTTCTTCGGGACACAAGAAGGCGCCTTTTCGCTGGATATTGCCTCCATCGCTGCGTTCCGTAGAGACGTATGAGATGACCGAGAACTGCGAACCCCCAAAATGACGAGAGACGTGTCAATTGGGCAAGACGAGCGGATGGCAATAGCTATTTGGCTGCCGAATACTAATCCTTCTTTGCATCGGTTTCCAACTCATCCAATCCCGTGCCTTTCGCCGAACCAGCATCCTACAACCATCAGCATCAGCTGCGGTAGCCAGAAAGGACAAAAACTCACCATTATCCACTGTGGCAAATATGTCGAGCCAAACCAAACAGTCCCAGCCATACTCCCACACCAGAATTTCCCCTGCCGCCCCGCCGTGATCGTCCTCACCACCTGCGCCGCATACTCCTCCGCGGCCATCCGAGTCGCCCCATCCTCGCCGCGCGCTCTCGCAACCACAGTATCCTCGATAGTCTTATACATCGAGTCCTCGGGGAGCCTGAGATCATCAAAATACGTCTGCCCGTTCGTCCTCACCGCCCCGGTAACAATCGACAGGACCTTGACGTTGAAGGGCGCCAATTCCAGCCGGAGCGTCTCAGCGATGATCTCCAGGGAGCGCTTGGAAGCGCTATACACACCTACTTGCATTGATAAATCTTCGCGCATACAGAATTTTGACAAGACATACCCATGTACGGCGTGTTCACATACCCGGCAATCGACGTGATGAACACCATGCTGCCCCGCGCGTTGATCACCAGCGGCGCAAACGCCTTGGTAAGCGCCAGTGGGCCGAAGACGTTCGTCTCGTAGATGCGGCGCGCGGCGTCAAGGTCCTCGTCCAGCACTGGCATGAAGTGGTTTCGGCCGGCGTTGTTGATGAGGTAGGTTAGGGAGCCGGCTGTGTGGCTACGGACTGTGTCTACGGCGGTGGCGATGTGTGTAGGGTTTGTTACGTCGAGGGTGAGGAGGGTGATGTTGGGGAGGTTGTGCAGAGCAGTCATCTTGGAGGGGTTGCGTGCTGTTGCGAAGACGTGGTAGTTCTTTGCTTGGAAGGCGAAGGCGAGGGCGGAGCCGATGCCGCCATCGCTGCAGCCGGTTATGAGGACGGAGCCGTCTGTCATTTTGCGGATGCTTGACGATGGTTTGTGATGGGGACCAGTCAGTCAGCATTAGTGGTTACTGGTTGATGATGATGATGATGATGCTGAAGTCGAGGGGTGCGTTCGTGGTCTTCGTCCAATAAGAGGTGCCTGAACGGGAATTACCCAACCAGAGAACTGAACTGAACTGAATTGTTGGTTTCCAAGCGTCTAGCGCAATATCGTACGTTGTTCGATGATCGGATAATGGAATAGTAAATAGCTGCCTTACACAAGAAGACCAGCCAATCCGGCAAGCAGATACCCGAATGACTCGTAGCATAGTAATCTATCTACAAAACATCCCTCTGCCTCCCTGTCAACTAGCTGATAACCTTCCTATCCGCTAGATCGCCTAGCACCTATCCAACATGCTCACAAGAGCACTCTTCTCAGCCGAGGTAATGGTCAAACTATACACATACTTGACCCTCACCCACATCTTCGCATATGTGCAATAATACGAAGCTGGACCGTTAGCATCATCATCCACACCCGAAAAGAAAACTTACTGAGAGGAGGCTTCCAGGCCTCGGGTCCAGCATCGCCCTTGGCCTGGTTGACATTATCCGTCACGGCCATCAGCTGCGGGTTCGTCAGGTCGTTGGCAAACGCCTGGCGCTGCGCGGTTGTCCATTTAGATGCACCGGACTATCGGCGGTTAGCAGATGCGGTCATCGAAGGATGGGGCGGTCACCCACTCTCCAGGCGTTGGCGAGCGGAACGACATGGTCGATGTCCACGTCGCTGGCCTGCGTCCAGGTGGCTCCGTCGTAGGGAGAGTACCACGATCCGCTGGTGGGTTGGCAGCTGGAATCCTTGACGATGTTGGTGCCGTCGCGGGCGAGCACGACCTCACGGGTGTTGCAGGTGCTGAGCTGTTAGCTTGGCTTGCAGGGAGGAGGAGGGATGAGGGTATACGTACCCTCCTTGACTAATCCAGTGAGGGAAGAGGCTGCGCGAGTATCCGTCTTGGGAGCCTTGCGCCGCGACAGTCAGGGCAGCCAGCTCGGACTCTGCAGTAGCGGCAGAGGGGATTCCTGGGGGAGTTGGCAGAGCAACTGGCGCCGGGATGGCTGTCACGAGGGGGATGCCCAGAAGGACTGAGAGGAGAAGGCGAACCATGATGTCTTGTCGAGATACTCTGAGGAGCTGTAGAAGAAGTGCAAGATTAATCTATCGCAGGACCAAGCCATTTATATATCTCGAGATTATATCTAAAAGAGGACATCGTATCACAAACCCCTCGCAGCCTACCCAGTCAAATCTTCACGAGGATCCCCTGCAGCATACCAGGCCTCTTGGCACTATCCCTCAAGGCGCATACCAGGAATGATTGGATGTAGTGCAATACTACCACTCTATCTGAGGATGCATCTTCTCGTTGTGTCCCGTTGTCAAATATTAATGATAAGCATCTTCAGGTAAGGACGGCATCTCATTGACTGATGGGCAGGATCTTGGCATCAATATCTCGGCCACGCCCAGCCTGCACCACAGCTGATTCGCCAGATCCTCGGTGATCGACAGGTGAACGTTTAATATATAGAAAGGGAGGGGTAACTGGCTCCGGAGACCGCCGGCAGTCACTGTGATCATCATGAAAGCAATCTGACAGATTAAGCATTAATCCATGTCATAACGATCATACTATTATTCAAATTATGTACACACGCTTGTCAATCGTAGCAATCAAGCCACACCCAACGCCCGGAGAATCTCCTTGCCAACTCCTGTGGCACTGGCCGGGTTCTGGCCCGTGATCACCGTGGCGCCCGTGCCAGCAGCCTTGGAAACAACCACCTTCTCCCCCCACGGCTCGTCGGCCTTGACATACCGGTTCCCCGTCACCTTTTGCAGCTCATCCTCCAGCATATACGGCATCGCAGACGACATCTGCGCCTGGTCTTCCTCGGTATTGGAGAAGCCCGTCACAGTGCAAGCCGAGAGCAGCGGCACCCCCGACGGCGCCTTGGCCTTGAGCAGGACGGCCGGACCGTGGCAGACGGCGGCGATGGGCTTTTTGGCGGCGGAGAAAGCTTCGATCAAAGCGATGGAGGTCTCGTCGGAGTGGAGGTCGAACATTGCTACTTTCGTTAGCCACTTTGCGACTTCTGCAGGTGAAATAAGGGAACATACGGCCGTGACCACCGACGTAGAAAATCGCATCGAATTCAGACACCTTGGGTAGCACATCGGATAGCTTGACTGTATTCGTCCACAGGGACTTTTGCTCCTTCAGGAACTTGGAGGACACGGGGTCGTTCTCGAACATTTGGACGGAGGCGGGATCCAGGGGCGCTTCACCTCCCTTGGGGGACGCGATGATCAGCTCGGTCTTATCGTGGAGGACTTCCCATGGGTGAGCGAATTCGGGCTGTAGGCGATCAGTCAATCATGTTCTGTTTGGGGTCCTGTAGGAGTACAGAAACATACCAGGTACCAACCCGTGGGGTGACCGTTGGAAGGGATCTTGTCCTGAGAAGTCAGGACAACAAGAACTTTTGGAGCCATGTTGCGGATTATTTTGATGAATGTGTCGACAATTGATCAAACAGTGAGGTGTAGACAGAGGGTTGTATAGGTTATATATACTGTATGTGATGATCATCGATGACATCACTGGTGGACAGCTGCTGCGGGGCTCGACTTCGGTTTAGAATGCTCTGGATGCTACAATAACAATACCTACTGCGTAGTAATGGACGGATAGATGATCTGAATTGAAGATGCCATTCGTTCAAGCTACTGTAGCTTGAGTATCGGCTGCTCCACTATGTGTAGACTCAACCCGAACAAGGTTGCTCCGACACCGACAAAAGTCTCCGTGACCTAAGACACGTGGAAATAGTCTCAGTCTGACACACCGGTCAATTTTGTGTCGAAATTGCGAGGGATCTGTCCAAATGGTGACCTCGGCAATTCGACACTTGGAATGAAGAATTTAGACCGATTTTTCAGGTATCGACCAAGCGATGCTTGTAGAGTTCTTACGAATTGAGAGCCTGCCATTGAATATTGAAGAATATTGAATATTATACTAAAATTATGACAGTATATAGAGACTGACAGTCATTCTGTCAATTGAGCTGAGATTGCTTCCTATTTGAGGCAGAGAACACAAACGATAGAAGTACATGTTTTCTTCCGGAGCATACACAAATTCTGGGATGACAGACCGAGGAAGTTGCAATATCCGCGTGGGTGCCCAATTGCTGTCAAATATCGTTTTCAATACCTAGTAGACTGCGACTTACATTCACTCTCAAATATAATATGCCATCTATACCCATTGCATGTCTCTAGCTAGGCTATACATCCATAACTTACAGCGCTCCCCATCATCGCATACATATGCTACTGTCCTGTACAGTTTTTGATCATAGATGCTCGACAGCGTGTAAGTTATTTCAACGACATATGAGCAGTTGCGGGACATATCAAGAACAACACGACTCTATCATTCGTTCTCCCCTCTCACTCGGGGACGGTCATCACAAATGCGCCAGAACGGCATCCGCACCGGAAACCTACTACAATTAGCACCCTCATCATCAACGACAAAGACAAGAGACATACCTTGACCCCCCTCTCCGTCTCAATCTGCGCATACGTCACCTTCCCATGGTCAATAATAATCGCATACCGGCCCGTCCGTCCCGCATTCGCCCACCCGATGCTATCCGAGAACCTCGCCTGGGGATCAGAGAGAAACAGCTACAATATCCGTTAGCCAGCCATCCCCCTCGAAGTAATGTAGTGACACATACGATATCATCTCCCTTGACCTGATTCGCCTTGCCCCACGCACTCATCACGAACGGATCGTTCGACGCGACGACAGCAACAATCTGTACGCCCTTTTCCTTCAGCTGGGGGAGACTCTTGATGTACCCGGGTAGGTGGTTCTCCGAGCAGGTAGGGGTGAATGCGCCTGTGCTGTTAGATTTTAGTTGCAATTGACGATCGGAGTTAACGAACCAGGAACGGCGAAGAGGACAACTTTCTTATCGGCCCATTCTTTTGACGCGTTGTAGTTGATTGGGATGCCGCAGGCGTTGATGTCGCTGCTTTCCTCCGCGTAGGGGATATACCTGTCGCTGAGTTAGAGTGAAGTCAACGAGAAGGGGGATTGACGGACTGGAAGACTACGTTGTCGGGGAACTTGTCGCCTGGTTTGAGGGCCATTTTGATATCCTTTGACAGTTGTAGTTTGTTGTTGAACGGATTGACGAGAGGGTGATCTGTTATGCTGGGATTGCGGGGTGAGGGGGCTTTAAGGCGTCACCGGCGGGGTTAATGCAGTGCATAAATGGCTGAGTCATCTATGCATCGGAGGGCTCCGATCTACCGGTGATTGAATACAAGAGTATTTGGGTTTCTGCTATAATGGGAGAAAAATACATATATTTATCTTCTATCTATAGATTAAATGGCCCTGCCAAACTGCACTGGGACAGTAAGCGGCACGCCCAACTTTCTCGCCGTAGAAAACACCCATTCCGGCTCGCGCAGGAATTGACGGGCTATCAGAATGGCATCCGCCTTGGGTTCAGGTCCTGAGAGCATTGCCTCGGCGGTAGTCGCCTCGTCCGCTCCCTGGACCAGTCCGCTCGCCTGTTCTGCCTCGGTAATCAAACCCACCGCACCCACGAGAGTCGACGCTCCAGCGGCTCGAATGGCCTGGCGGATCTGCCCGGCCAAGTCAGTCTGGTAGGCCGTGTGCACGTTGATCTTCTGGTCTTGGTGATTCCCCGCGGAACTGACATCCACAAGGTCAATGCCCCATTCGGACAGCTTCTTGGCCAGCTCCAGCGAGCTCTGTATGTCCCAGCTGCCCGACTCCGCCGCCACAGGCTGACCCTCCAACCACTCGGTGGCACTAATGCGCAGGAACAACGGCATCCCCTCGGGGATAACCTCGCGAATAGCAGCCGCAACCTCGCGCACGATCCGCGTCCGGTTCTCAAAGCTCCCGCCGTACTCGTCCGTCCGCTTATTCGTCACTGGACTCAGGAACTGGTTGATGAGATAACCGTGTGCCCCGTGGATCTCGATAACATCCACCCCAGCCTGCACCGCTAATCGCGCGCTCTTCGCAAACGCCGCCACGACCTCCCGGACCTCCGCCGTGCTCAGCGCCCGCGGCGCCCAGTACGCATCCGGCACAGGACTCCAGATATGCTCCTCCCCACCGGACGGGCCGGCCACATTCGCCGGCCACCCGCCTACACTCTCGTCCGCCTTCAGACTCGGCTTGCCCGCCTGCGCTGCCAGCCACGGCGCAACAACACTCGCTTTCCGGCCCGCATGCGCCAGCTGGATCCCGACCTTGGCGCCCTGCGCGTGCATGAACTCGACTACGCGCTTCAGCCCGAGGAATTGTTCCGAGCTGGTACCCTCCTGCCAGAGTCCTGAGTCATTGGGGGAGATGCGCCCGTTGGGCTGCACGGCGGTGGCTTCGATGAAGACGAGGCTCGCGCCTTTGAGGGCGAGGTGGCCAAGATGCGCGAGGTGGTAGTTTGTCAGGGCGCCGACGTGGGGCGAGGAGGGGTCGGACTCGCACGAGTACATGCACATGGGCGAGACCATGATGCGGTTCTTGAGCGTCACATTGCGGATTTGCAAGGGGCGAAAGAGCGTGGGGGTCTTGGGGTCGTCGGGGTGCAGGGCGGCGCCTCCGTTGTTGGCGGGGGTGAAGTAGGGGGTTGTCGCGGACTTGGTGACAGCGGGGGATTGGAAGGCGTTGGAACCCATGTTGCTTCAGGTAATGGCGTCAGAGCAGACGTATGAAAGTACAAGTGGAAGAAGGGAAAGAAAAGACATGATTGCGTTGTATAAATGCTCGGCCGAATTGTGTCTTCCAAGTGTCAGATACAAAGTCTAGGGGATATCGGAGATGGCAGCGAGGGGAGATGGAGCTGACAAATGCCGCAAAAGTGGCCCACTCCTGTGTACTGCCATTGGCCACGTACTCATTCTTAACCGCCATTGGCTGGCTATCCATTGCTGAAAAAGGGAAATGGTCTCATTGATCGGGATTTGGTAATGCTCACATCAACCACAAGTTATTCTGCGCAGTTGACTTCCCACTAGTCCAGTAGGTCGTCAGCATATTCTCAAGCCGTCTCATGGTGCCATTATTGGTCGCCTGCCAGAAGCCCTGGATCTGTGCCAGCAATATCTGCCGGTCTGACTGCTTCTCTGCACAGGTCCCAAGCACCAGGAATGGCCAACTGTAGTACTCGGCAAAGTAATCTTGCGCTGGCTGTAGTTGAGTCACAAGAACCATGGCATGTGAAACAAGCTCACTAACCAAATGGTCTTGTTGATTGCCGGCAAGATAAATAAGACGATTGAGAAGGATTCGTGCACACAAGACATACAGTTTAGGTCCTGCAAGTAGCTCAGGAGCAGCGGTGCCTGCCATTAGTGTATCCCACCGTCTCAGATCCTGCTCCAGCCCTCTGCAATGGCGAATATCAACGCCGTCGGGGTACTGTTGGTACATACGAGAGATGGTGTAGACGTACTGGAACAGTTTCGGAGGGACCCCGAGGACTGGTGAGTTAGCATCCACGGAAATATGTGGTCGGCAGAGGACCTCCAGTATGGTTTCTGCAAGGGAAAAGGCAGAATCAATAGGAGCGGATGCGGTAGATGTAAGCTGAAAGGGTATACTCGTTGCGACGTGAAACATGAACGACTCCAGAAATAAGCGCGGCATCCAGATATCTGTTGCAATAGTGCTTGCGTCCGGTGTTTTCTGTCGAAAATACATCTGAATGAGCTGAGCTGCTCCGTTGAGATGGACATCGACGCCTTGCGAGTGATGGGGTTTGGATCGCTGTTACTGTTAGGTTTGATCAGAAACATTGCTTCTTCTGCTTACCTCATAAATACATAAAATCAGCACTGTCCACAAGACGACTGTCCGTTGACTCGGGCCGTGGGCTTGTACAAGGCTCTGTCGCAAACCAGAAACAGCCTTAATATAATGCACCTCGGCCATTCGGCGGTACTCCGGGTCGTTGACAGGTATCTCTGCTGCAGCACAGGCGAGAAGCGCGTGCATACAGAAAGGGGATTGAAATGCCCATCGAAGGCTTTCTCTAGTTACCAACTTGTTCACAGCCCCTTTGGTTACTGGATGGATAAGCTGTGGCAGGAAGATGGTTTGCAAGAAGTCGAATAGCTGGTTGTTGGCCGGGCTTAGGACGGAGGAGTAGCACGCTGGTCCATTTGAGAAGGTGATTATAGATGGAGTTCGAGTGTGAACAAGTTGACATTCTGTGCCTGAAACGCACTCTGCCGCTGTGCTGCTACTCCCAGAATGACTCAGTTGATCATTGACATGACCAGCTTTCCTGTCAACCCAGATGCATTCTATATTTCGTTTGAGGCAGTTTCGGCACGGTGAGCCCGTCTCATCGCACTTCTTCTTCCGTGATCGGCCTTATATTATTAGCACGTCTCGGAAAATGCTTTGAAGGCAGCATACAGGTCAAACATCCAGTCTTCGTCCGCAAATGAGCCGGCCGCCGTCGAGGTCGACGGTAGGACTTTTGTGTTGTGGCAGTGCAATCTGCCATTGCAGGTATGTATAACAATGGCTCACATATCTTCATGTACGTATTGAACCCAGCGGAAGTAGCCTTTACTAGCAAATAAATGGCAGGGGAACTAGTTAATTGTCCGGTTTCGTCGCCACGCGCCAGTCACGCGAGCGCGGTGGAGCTCCGTCTGCTCGGAAATTGCTGGCATTACAGCCGATTGCAAAACTGCTGCAAATGTTCATACTCTTCAACTCTCCACGAAACCCTAATCAGGGATGCATAAGTTTCTTCCATAGAGATACTCCGGAAAGTCACAGTGTATGTTAATGTTTCGAATGGTTATTAAGTTCTGAATGATTTAGCATATTTCACATGGCCTGTAAACTAGCATACAAGCGCATCCTTCTGCCACGTGCTTATATCTCACCACAGTATAAATCCTCCTAATCTAGCTCCATCAAAACAATTTATACAGGATATGATCTTGAGTAATAAGCTTACCTGATCTTCAATCACTAGAACTGCTGGCTGCAACCCAAGCATTATTACTTGGCATGCCACCAGTCGAGCCAATAACCAGCACCTCACAGGACAGATTCAGTCTGTGTTCTTGTGAGCATATAGCCGATCAAGTTGTGGTATTCCACATTAAACTTATGACAATCCTTGCTTCTTTTAGACTTCTCTTCTTGCATATTCAGTCTAACCGTCTATCAGAGAAAAGCATGATTAGTCATATTGGCTTGTGAGATGGATGCACTTTCGATCATAGCCTCGTGCCTGGCGCCTAACTCACCCCTCTTTATCTCGCTAGAAAAGCCCAGCCTATAATCCGAACCCATATCTTTACATTTGGGTCGCCACTGTACATAGCTACGCAGAACACAGACTTTTACGCTGTGTCCTTCCAAATGGATGCTGTATCCTCGGCGGCGAGCGTCATCGCTATTATCCAACTGACGGGAAGTATTGTGAAGTTTTGCGGGAGTTACATACGAGAGGTAACCGATGCGCGGAAGGAAATTCTTATCCTACAGCGGGCGATTGCAGGCCTTCAAAGGACTCTCCAAGACCTGCAGAAATTTCTTCAAAATAATAACGAAAAGGCTCTACCTACCTCCTCACGACTAGTCAACAATATTGCTGATTGTCTCTCCGACCTCCGAGCCTTAGAGGCGAGACTTGAACCAGGAAAGGGAAAAGGGCTAATGAGGAAAGTGGGATTACGAGCCTTAAAGTGGCCCCTGAAACGCACAGAGATGGAGGGCATTGCAAAGAATATTGACAGATATAAATCTTTATTTCTTTTAACTTTACAGGTGGATCAGACGTATGTAAATCCAGCATGATTCTATGAGTCTGTTGATTAACTTAGGGACTGCATAGTTCTCTATTGGTCGGCGTGGCCCAAAATACGGATCGTCTTAATCAACATATAGATCTCGGGAAGTTGGAGGGCGCCATGGAGGCAGTGTTTGAGTCCTTCTCTGATCGAGACGAAGCCCAGTGTCTCCAAGGCACTAGAACCCAGCTCCTCCAGGAGATAATGGAATGGGCTACTTCGCCGTCCCAAAAAAGTATTTTCTGGTTAAACGGAATGGCTGGGACAGGGAAATCTACAATATCTCGGACTGTGGCAAGGCTACTCAAGGACAACAACCATCTATGTGCCAGCTTCTTCTTTAAGAGGGGTGAAGGGGACCGAGGGAACGCAAAGAAGTTTTTCCCGACATTAACAAGGCAACTGATACTCTGGAGCTCTGAGCTGAGGTCTGGCGTGCAAAAGTCGCTCGATCATGACCCTGATATTGCGTTAAAATCACTCAGAGAGCAGTTCGAGGGACTCCTCCTTCAGCCGCTGCTCAGTCTCGACCAATTCGGCGGACAACCTCAAACCGCCGTGATGGTGATCGACGCCTTGGACGAATGTGAACATGGTAGAGATATCCGAAATATAATTCAATTACTGCCTTGTTTACAGAAGGCAAAATCAGTCCGCCTTCGGGTTTTCTTGACCAGCAGGCCAGAACTTCCAATCAGCCTTGGATTTTCAGAGATTGGGGGTCACGAATATCAAGACCTAGCTCTTCACGAGATACCTGAAGAAGTGACAGAACATGATATACATTTATTCCTGCAGGACGGATTCGCGAAAATCAGACATGACAGAAATATCTCCCAAGACTGGCCTGGTGATGATGTCATTCGACGTCTAGTTAAGATGTCCGTTCCACTTTTTATCTCTGCTGCCACTGTGTGTCGTTATATCGAAAATCCAATGTGGGAACCTAAATTACGCCTCACGGAGCTTTTAGAGGACCAAGCCAAATATGCAACAAGAATGGAGAAGACATACCTGCCAATTCTGACACGACTTCTAGATTATCAAGACAGTGACGAGTCAGAGCAGCAGCAAATCTTGGACGAGTTCCAGCAGATTATTGGTGTCATCATACTCCTTACTGTTCCACTTTCTATAAATGCGCTGTCGCTATTCCTTGATATCCGGGCAGACCAAATCAGCAATCGATTAGACTCTTTCCGATCTGTTCTCAGTGTCCCGGGTGATCGAGATTTACCAGTGAGAACTTTGCATCTATCATTCCGAGATTTCTTAGTAAAATCCCGAGGCAAATTTCTTGTGGACGAGCCAAGCAAGCATAAAGAGATTGCTGGACACTGTCTCAGAACCATGCGAAGTCATCTGCGGAGAAATATTTGCAAATTAGAAAGCCCTGGCACGCACAGGGCAGATATTGATACTCAAACTCTCCGCCGATATTTACCACCGGAACTTGATTACTCTTGTCGCTACTGGATATACCATTTTCAACAAAGCAGAATCTCGTCTTCTGACGTAGGACAAGTGTTATTGTTCCTTCAGAAACATCTTCTGCACTGGATAGAAGCAATGAGCTTGCTAGGGCTTGCATCAGAAGTGATCGGAATGCTTCAACTCCTCCAGATCGCTGTAGTAAGTTTAATACTAAATCATATATATCCACACTAATAAATATAGGACGATGATGACTATTTCGCAATATCTCGTTTGCTGCAAGATGCAAAGCGCTTTATTCTAAAGAACTACCAGATAGCGGATGAGGCGCCCCTTCAGCTTTATTATGCAGGGCTTATATTTGCACCCCAAGCGGCAGTGATGCGTAGAGAGTTTGCAAGAGAGCTTCCCGCTGAGATAACCCAGATGCCACAAGTTGAGGAAAAATGGGACGCAGAATTACAGGCTCTCGAGGGCCATTCAGGCCCAGTTTGTTCTGTAGCCTTCTCGCCCGATAGCCAGCTGCTGGTGTCCGGCTCTCATGATAACACAGTACGCCTCTGGGATACAGAAACTGGCATGCTTCAACAGACCCTCAAGGGCCATTCACACATTGTCCGGGCGGTGGCTTTCTCACCTGACGGCCGGCTGCTTGCCTCTGGCTCTTGTGACAACACAGTATGCATCTGGGATATATCGACGGGCTCACTCCAGAAGGCTCTTAGTGACTTCTGTTGGGTTTTATCAGTGACCTTCTCACCTGATGGCCGGATTCTTGCTTCTGGCCTTGAAAATGATTTAGTGCAGCTCTGGGACCTAGCAACAGGCACACTACAGCATACCCTGAGGGGTCATTCACATTCTGTTGCTTCTGTAGCCTTCTCGCCTGATGGTCAGTTACTAGCATCTGGGTCACATGATTCAACAGTACAGCTTTGGGACCCAGTAACAGGTGTGCTCCAGCGTACCCTCAAGGGTCATATATATTCAGTTACATCCGTAACTTTCTCACCCAACAGTCTGTTGCTAGCATCTGCCTCCTTTGATTCAACAGTGTGCCTCTGGGACCCGACAACAGGTGCGCTCCAGAAGAAGATTGAAGGCCATTTATTCTCGGTTCAGTCGGTGGCTTTCTCACCTGATAGCTCTTTACTAGTATCTGGTTCTGATGATAAAACAATACGGATCTGGGATATAGCAACAGGTGCGATCCAGCAGACTCTTGAGGGTCATGTGGATCGGGTAAGGTCGGTAGCCTTCTCATCTAATAGCCAGCTACTAGCATCTGGATCTGAAGACCAGACAGTGCGGATATGGGAACCAGCGATAGGAGCACCTCAGCGTTTCCTTAGGGGCCATTCACATTCAATTATATCACTGGCCTTCTCTCCTGATGGTCAGTTACTAGCATCTGGGTCATATGATTCAACAGTACAGCTCTGGAACACAACAACAGGTGCGCTCCAGCAGACTTTCAAAGGTCATTTAAATTGGGTATTGTCAGTTACCTTCTCGCCAGATAATCAACTACTAGCATCTGGTTCTGAAGATAAGACAGTGCGGCTCTGGGAAATAGCAACCGGCACGCTTCAGAAGACTATTGAAAACCACCCAGGCTCAGTTCTGTCAGTGGCCTTTTCGCCTGACCGCCGGCTACTGGCATCCGCGTCTCAAGACAATATAGTGCGGCTCTGGGACCTAGCAACAGGTATGCTTCAGCGCTCTCTCAAGAAGCACTCAAGCCAGGTTAGGTCGCTAGCCTTTTCGCCCGACGGCCGGCTGCTGGCCTCCGGCTCCTGGGATCGCAGTGTGTGCCTATGGGACACAGCAACGGGTACACTCCGACAGACTTGGGATTTTGAAATTATAGTCAATGTTTTCGAATTTTCCCCTGATGGTTCGTATCTACGAACCAGTTTAGGCGGCCTTGACACTCAGTCGGGGTGTGTCATTCCGACAACTAATTTGCCTCATGCGGATCTGGATATCTCAGAAAATCGGCAATGGATAAAATTGAATGGCAAAAATGTTTTATGGCTTCCTCCCGAGTCTCGGCCTAGCTGTTTCATGATCAATGGCAGTAGACTTGCCCTAGGACAGGAATCAGGGCGGGTTTCTTTCATCGAGTTTTGTACATGACAGGATATTTTCATTTATGTCTATCCCTTGACTGTCTTTCTTGTCTATTCACGGAATGAAGAAATTTCTTTTTACGAATGAAGAACGTAGAAAAAAGAGGTTTCGGGGCGGTGGAGAACTTGCACTACAGGGACAAAAGCCATATTCAGAAGGCGTACGTTCCCGACCAAAATCACCCAGGGCAAGGGATACGAAGGAGTGCATCCCCAAATACCAGCTTGAGAAGCAATATAGTGGTTGAAGGGGGGGTGTCACATCCTTGAGGCACAGGATGCTGCCGAGAACTTCCAGCTACCTGTGGATCATAGGTATAAGACGTTACACGCCATCTGTACTGCAGCATTCTACTGTATAGTTATGAATATTACACAGATTACACGGACTATAGCGGTTGTGCTTTAATATTACATTTTCCTGAACAGATGATGGCTACTTATGCAACATTTGGTAGCCCTAGGCGTGCTGAGGCCCTGCTCTGCCGGAAAATGGATGCTTGAACGTAAACCTACATCAACACAGGAATAGACTCAATGGTTCTACCAAACTATAACCTCGGCGTCTCCATCACCCCCCTCGCCTCAACTGCACTCCTCGAGCTCAGATCCCTCACCACATCCGAAGGCGGCACCCACAGCGCCGGGTTCTTCTGGAAGAAATTCGACGCCCGCAGCATCACACTCACCGGCTCCGCCGGCATGATCGGAAAGTCCTCCGTGCGCGGGAAATGCGTCAGTCCAAACTGGATATAACACACAATATCAGTATTCTCGATACACTCATCCCTCGCTGCCCAGTCGACGATTGTCGGGTTGTGCGGGTGGTCCTCTATCCCCGTTGACTGGCAGACGTATTGTCCCGCAGGAAAGACCTCGTGATCACGGTAGGGCAGGACCCAGAGCGCGTGACGCGCGAACCCCGCGCGCTTGTAGACTGTGCTTCCGGGTTTTGCGAGCAGCGCGGGACAGTTGTTGTTGAGGATCTTGTAGGCAATGGGCTTGCGGGTGGATGGGTTGAGGCGGGTCGGGTTGGTGATGTCCCATCCGCGGGAGGTTTCGTGGCAGTAGTCTGTTGCGCCTTGGAGGGCAGTCCGCAGGGGGGTCTTTTTGGCGTAGAATCCGTTGCCGTAGGGGTTGGCGGAGGAGCCGACGGGGTCGGCCATGGGGACGGCGTCGCTCTGCACGACGGTGTTGTTGGGCCCGTCGATTTCGGGGTCGACGCGCAGGGAGAAGATGTGCTGGTGGTTCTGGGCGTCGAGACCACGGGCGATCTCTGTGCCGAAGGGGGCGGCTTGTTCGGAGGCGTGCAGGCAGTAGGTGTTTAGCATGCCTGTGAGTTTGACTTCGAGTTTGTACGTGCCGTCCAGTGTGAAGGTGTGGTAGAAGGCGTACTCGTAGTTGGCGGCGGTGATGATCTGGGAGATGATGAGTTTGCGGTCGCGGGCTGAGATGACGTTGCCGTCGCGGAAATCGGTATGCTTGTACAGGAGTCCGTTGTCTTCTTCGTGAATGCAGATGGCGTTCTCGATGACGGTGGCTTCGCCAGTAGATGTGGCTAGAACGGCATCCAGGTAGTGGATGGCACCCTTGCAGTCGCAGCCGAGCTTGAGCGAGTTGGTCATGAACCCAGAGCCGTATTCACCCACGTCAAAGGCGTGCTTCTTGTGATGCGGTGGCTTGGGACACCCATAGGGAACCACCATCTCCACCACGCTGACACGGTGGAACAGCTTCCGCTCGCGCTTCTCGTACGGGTCGTCGATCCGGACGTTCGATAACACGATGCCTTCGCGGTAGTTGAACCCAATATGCATTTTGAGTCCGGCCCATTCGATCTCATTGCCATTCATCCTAAACGAGACGCCTTCCGGCTGCGTAATCTCAATAGGCTTTAGGCGATCCGGACGATACTGATCTTTGATAAACTGAGGGAGATAGTTATGCTCGTCCAGAGGGACTGGAGTTCGTTCTCCATTCACCCGTCTGACATCCACGCTGAGGATCTCCTCGGTCTCTGTGTCGGCGACAATCGTAAAATCAAGCGGGTGCGCATACTGATTGTCATGTGGAGAGCTGCGGTAATAAGGCAGTGCTTGCTGCAGCCGGCGCTCAAAGCCCCAACGCTCGTCAATCCCAATGGCCCAGGCGTCAAAATAGACACGGGACATGTCGGTTATGCCAATCTCCCGGCATGCTTCAATTACCTGGGGATCCTTGCTGGCGATGCGCTCGACGATGTTGAGATCATCCAGGGTCAGCGTCGGCATAACGTTTTTGACGCTCTTCCAGGATTCAACCTTCCTTGTCGTCAGATTGACAATAGCCTCGGAGATCTCCGGAGTGCCCTTCTTCAGCATGATGGAAAAGACACGACGGGGAGGACGGGGCCCTGTTCCACCCAGGAAAGCTGCCAGCTCGGCTTTGAGCGGCTCGTGGAGGGTAATGCAATTGAACTTGAGGGCGGTTGGGTGCGCATGTTGGCGAAGGAGCGTAGCAGAAATGGTAATCTCGTCAACGGACAGAGGGTCTAACATATTAGTATGGTACACTCTTCTAGCAAATTGAGGACATACCTAGCGGATGGATAGACGATGCAGAAGAGCGACGCTTTCTAGCGCAGCATTTGTCAGCCATGATTACCGAAATTGCTGTCAAGTATGAGTAGGATTCACGTAGAAGTGAGGCCATATAAGCATATTTATATCTTTGCAGGTTGCAGTGCTCGGGAGGACATGCTGATTTGGGTATGGACACAACCGGCCGTCAGATACTTGGTTTCCTCCAGTTCAACACATCACGAGTCCAATATCAGACCCAAGTGAGAATGTTCTGCCGGACAGGAAATATGGCAATATCAAAGACGCCATATGATGCAGTAGTATAGAATCAGCCTGACCAATGGCGTCACTTTGCGCGGTAAGGTGGGGCTCTTCATCTCCAACTGTATTCCCTTATCAACCAACCACAACTGCTGACATATATCAAGGGATCTCACTGTTCAGCAATACTCAAAAGGGCAAGTGGAAGAGAATAGTCTTATCTTGACCATATGACAGAAGAAAGCTGCCTATATATGGCAAGGATAGATCGGTTCACTGGATTTGCCACAGCTGAACTGAATCACCATGAAGACCATCTTCACGAACGGCCGCATATTCTCCCCTTCATCGAAGGACCTAAACGCAGACAATGAGTTTGTGGAATCGATGGTCATCGAAGATGATCAAATCACCTATTTGGGTTCACGGGATGAGGCTCCCTCTGCAGATAATACAATCGACCTGAAGAGCCGACTTGTCCTCCCCGGCTTCATCGACGGCCATGTGCACATCCTCAACTTCGGTTTGTCCTTGGGCAGGCTCGACTTGATGGAGTGTACATGCCTAGAGGACATTCAGAAGGTAATCAAATCCTTTGCAGCGAGTCACCCTACGGCCCCTCGTCTTCTTTGCCGAGGATGGATTCAATCGACGACCAGCGGGATCGCTCTGGCAAGTATGCTGGATGATTTGGACCCACAACCGATCCATATTGAATCTCTGGATCTACACTCAGTCTGGTGCAACTCGGCCGCCCTCGAAGAAATGGGTATTTTCACTGCACCCGATCCACCTGGTGGAACGATCCACCGCGACCAGAACGGAAGACCATCAGGTCTCCTGAGCGAAAGTGCCATGGTCGACATCGTCTGGCCATTTCTCGCAACCGTCACCACCCGAGAAGAGAAGCTAAAAGCCCTTGACCAGGCTTTCACCGCATACACACAAGCCGGGTACACCGGCCTGGTCGACATGGCCATGGATGAATCCACCTGGGACATTCTCCAGCTCTACCGAAAACGCAACGATGCCCCCTTGCACATAGCAGCATACTGGCTCGTTCCATTTTCTGAGAACCAAGAAACCAACTTCCACCACGTTGACCGCGCAATCCAGCTGCACGCCCACTTCAACCACACCACCTCACCTGATTTCTGCATCATGGGCATAAAGCTCATCTGCGATGGCGTCGTAGACGGCTGCACAGCGGCGCTCAGCCAACCCTACGGGAGCCGCACCGACCCCGTTGAGCCGATCTGGCCCGCGGACATGCTCAAAGCCGTCGTCCAGCGCGCCGACCACGCAGGCCTTCAATGCGCCATCCACGCCATCGGCGACAAGGCCGTAAAGCAGGCTGTCGATGTCCTAGCGGAAGTGGGCACGCCCGGCCGCCGCCACCGCATCGAGCATCTTGAGCTGACTGCTCCCGAGGATGCAAAGCGGTTGGGAGAGTTGGGGATAACAGCCTCCGTGCAGCCGGTGCACTCGGATCCGGTTTTGTTCCGTGCGTGGCCGGAGTTGATTGGCGATCGCTGCCAGAGGGCTTTTGCCTATAGGGAGTTTGCGGATGGAGGGGCGAGGCTGGCGCTTGGGACGGATGCGCCTACTGCGGCGCATTTGCCGTTGCCGAATCTGTATAATGCGACTACGAGGCGTTCGGCGCTGGATTTAGGAGAATCAGCGGCTACGAATGCGCATTTCGGATTAGGGCTGGCGGAGGCTGTGACTGCTGCGACGGAGGGGGCGGCATATGCGAGGTTCGCAGAGGGGTGGACAGGGTGCCTGAGGGAAGGACGTAGAGCGGATTTTGTGGTGCTGGATATGCGGTGGGAAGCAGAGGAGCTGTTGGAAGGAAAGGTGTTCGAGACTTGGTTTGGAGGGAAGAAGGTATACAGTGTAGACAGATGACGGAACAGGATTCTCCTGTCTTCTACATTTTTAGCCCTTGTGGATGCTCAGAGATCAGTAAATCTAATCATAGAGCTGAGACTGCGCAATCTCCGTAACCGGGATATCCAATACTCATATGCCCGAGCAGAATAAGGCAAATCGTGCGACAATACCCTAAACCCTAGTATATTAATGCTGCATCCGTTGCTACGGAACACGTTCGGATCCGAGACCGTTGTCAACCACGCTGCCAACATACCATGTTCGAACGTCACCCGCATTATGGAGGCTGAAAGATGTCAGCTGAGCTTGTGTAATTAGAGGTGATCCGTCCGTTCCGTTCCACTGGCGGATATTCAGAACTGCCCCGAGTTATTGTCGCTCAAGTCCGATGTGTAACGTATCGGCGCCGGGTGTTTCGTGTTGTATACTTTCCCTTCCTGGGTAGAATAAGCAGCTAGAGCTATTATGGCCTAACTGCCGGTAGCAGGGATCATGCTTCGGCATGCAGGTGTGGGCCGTTCTCGGGGCTTAGAACATGTACACAGTACACCCCATGCCGCGATGCTCCTACCGGGTGATTGCTTGACTCGAATATCTGGTTTTCAGCTTGAGGAGAACAATTTTCAGGTGACACAGACTCCAGAGAGTGCCGTCCATGCTTCGATTGAGAAAAACAGCCGAATAGAGGGATGTGGTAAATTTGCGAATGCGAATGAAAGAGAACTTACCTATCGCTTATCGATGAAGCGTTCAGAAGAGTATGAAGTGGTTGGCCCCCTCACGTATAGATGACGAGATCCCACGGCCCCAGCTAATCCAGCTGAGATCCAAAGCCAAGTTCGGGCGGCTGGTGCTGGGTCCGGGGCAATCATCACCAACTAATGCCTCTCAAACTGATCGCTTTGAGATGCCACTTCAGGAGCCCGTATCAGCCCCGATTTCTGCTATCGAGTACGCTCAGCAAGAACAGAATCAAAGTGGCGTGTGCTTGAGCGCGTGGTACCTCTCAGCTGTCTTGCTGACCGCGTTTGCTGGCTGATATCAACATGGACTGTGCATTGCAAGAACTCAACCATGTATCTTTCTTCTTGTCGTCATATCTGGACCTGCTTTGAGTTGAAGAGGAGATACAACTTCGAGATATAAAGTCCGTTCCTGCACAGTTGTCTGTAGTCAAGCAGAATTATTCCCACATAATTATTTCTCCCCTCAGCAGGCAATTATTCACTTCTCACTTTGTCTCTCAAATAGTAACATCCTCACCATGTCCGACACCGAAGTTTCTATATCCTCTGCCCCGGTTCAGGACGGAAAGAAATACTCAATCAAGGTCCCTGGAGGCGGAGCTCTAAGCGTCGTCCCGGGAAAATACAAGAACGAAGAGGTCCACATCCGATCCTGGGAACACGCCAGAAACCAGCTGTGGGTGGCCGAAGCCAACGACGGTGGCTTCGGATTCCGCAACGCAAGTTCGGGAAAGTTGCTGGGGGCGAACAAGAACGGGGACATCGCAGTTGACGCGGATAAGCTGGATTCCTGGGAACGGTTCCAGTTCCTGAGCGCTGGGTCCGGGTATCTCTTTTGGCTTATCTACAAAGGCACGCAGCAGTATCTTTACCGGCCTGCCCAGTGGGATTCTCTTCAAGTTTCGACTCATCAGTCCAGCGCTATTTCGCTACAGACTCATGAAGAATGAGGTACGTGGACCTATGCTGGGTTGACTGCTCTGTGCTGACCTTCGAACATTGTTAGCCACTCGCCATTGCCACCAGCCGAATCTGTGGCCCTGTACGCCAGGCTTCCTATGGGGGCTAGCATATGGAGACGCAGAACATCTAACAGCAAGTCAGATGTAGAAAAGTGGATTCCATGTGGTGCTTCTTCTGTGCTTCACTCCTTTTTTCATGTCAGTTATTTATCAGTTGAAACAAATGGACATTAGCTACTCTCATTGGCAGTTTGTGGTGTTGGGCTATGTATTCCTCATTTATCTAATGAACAGGCGTCGTTCTAAAACTATAGGTGCTAAACATGCTGCTGCACTATTATTTCTACTAGCTAGAAATGGTAGACTTGACACCTTTTTAGCTCAGTGGGTGGCGTGCATTCGACATTTCATGTTGAGAACCCCCGATCATGCCGCTGACACAGCAGAGAAGGGGAATGTATGAGCTGGAGTGCAAGAGAAAAACAAGCTTCCTCAACGTCCCTCTTGAGACAAAGTTGCCTGTGGTATTTCAATCCACATGTGCTCCCGGGGCTGAAGTCCATGGACGGCAACAAGTTCAGAGATAGGATGAGTCTGACGGCCTGTACGAAGAATTAACCAAACAGGAATGTACCCCTTTGACTGACGAGAGGAGTATAGCAGAGCCCGCTAAGGGCTTGCATTTTCATGTCATCTTCGATGTCAAGCTCCCTCTGCAAGTTCCTGATCTCAATAGACGCAGCAACTTCTATTGTGCTCCCTGCCTCCTTTTCCTATCCTTACATGTAGGCTCGGCTCAGCGCGCGTCCTCTGCGTCAAATTGTACCGCCGGAAGACTACCGCTGGCATAATGCTTTCGAATCCGCAGCACACTTGAATGAATATTGGCGGAGTGATGGGAAGACTACCGAGATAATCTGGTAAAGAATGGCCCAAGACAGGCGAGTTGCGCAGGACCGCATCGATCATCAGTCCTTTCCCGGGACTGAAGAGCATTGGCTGGGGACAACATCAAGGCCGCGGCCGCTTACTGAGGGGTAATTAGCTATAGCTCCCTCGACTTGCCTTGGCGCCGAAGAGGGACGCATCTTTAGCCCCAGCTAGCTACCGTTTTATGTAATTGAATGGTAGCTCACCGGCTAAAGGCCAGGAGGAATAAATTGCTCGCCGAAGCTTCTGCAGCTATCTCTGTAAATAGTCACCTAGGCTTAAAGCATCAGTTTAACCGCTGAAGAATCTACGACAGCGTTCTCGTCCCACTGCGTTATGCCCAGGTACAGACTGTAAGTCTGAGCAATTGCCCAGATAGTATGGTCCCATGGTTCTAAGGATGGTGCATCCCATCGTATACACAGATTAAAGGGCCTTTGGTCCATTTCTCATAAGGAACAATCAACACGCTGATAAATACCAAATTCGGGATCGACATGCTGAGCTGACCGAAAAGCCTTCTTGGTCATGATGAAGCGAGCAGGCATAAGAGCGACCAGGAGCGAAGCAACCACGCACGGTGTAAGACGGTACGAGCTGCGGAAGGAGAATTACCTCGAGTAAATCAGATCCAAGAGCCTAAGGATGGGAAACGCAGGACATCGTTCCTTTGTGGGTCGCGTGGAGTGACTATTCCAGTTCATCGAACGCACATCTACAGGACTAATTGCTGATCTTGCTTTGAACTGGGTACGGGACAGTACATATTTGAGGTCCTAGCTAGCTGGAACTTGGACTTCAATGTGAGTTAACCACCATTGCTTCAGAGACAGTTAACAGACAAGGCTTTTCGGCGTATAACAAGCAAGAATAGCCCTTGGCGCGCTTATAACATGACATGATGAACCTTCTTTGAAAAAAGCGAAACCCCAGAGTGAAATAGTCGCTAACCTCGGCAGCTGGATTGGAGATCACTTGCACTAAAGGAACACTGTCAGCATGACTGGCACAGTCCAAAGTCCCTTTCGACCTGGAAGAGAGACTAACCACATTGTTGCTGCAGCGACGGTTGTTGCAGCAGAGAAAGGTCCCGCCGTTGCAGTACTGACCCGGTTGAGAGCAGCCAGCATTGGGAGCAGGGACAGCAGCAAGCGCCGCAGTAGCAGTGGCGGCCAGGAGGAAAAGAGTAGTAAAGATCTTCATGTTGGGTTTGGTTTTGTAAAGAAGATTGAGAGACAATCCCTCTCGCGAATTCGACGCGTATTTATATGTTGAGGACGGAGTCGGTGTAACAGTCAGCGCCTAATATCGGAATTGATATGACCTAGGATTGCTGCCGCTCACTGCCATGGATGAGAGCTGTGTTGGATGATCTACAGAGATTACTGGCTCATCCAAAACTCGACGTTGCATCCATCTAACCATATGAGCTGACTGTCTCACTCCTTGCATAGGTGCTGACGGATCTTCTTCGGCGAGTCTGACATGCGTTTAGCCGTTCTGTACAGTTCCTATTTTGGAGAATTAGTTACATAATGTACAAACAGAACAGAGCACAATTCTACCAAGTCCTGCGATGCATCATATGATGCATTGGGTGTTGAGAGGAGCAGAAACAAGGCAGAAACAAGGCATCGATCAGGATAAGATTAGAGGAAAGTAGATAAGATTATCTCACGTGCGATAAGCCAATCCCACAATTCCCCTCCACACACTCCTCTCTACCCCTCAAGGGAAGTAACCTCAATTTATCACTCCAATTCGTCACCAATCCCCATAATAGCACCAGAAATGGCTTCAATTCAAATCCTCGACGGAGGGCTCGGAACTTCCCTCCAAGATCAACATGGCATCACCTTCGACTCCTCTACCCCCCTCTGGGCATCCCACCTCCTTGTCTCTGACCCCACCACCCTCCTCGCCTGCCAGCGTAACTTCGTAACAGCAGGCAGTGGCGTCCTCCTAACAGCCACATACCAAGTTTCCATTGAAGGTTTTGCCCGCACCAAGACCCCCGAGTTTCCCCCCGGTATCCCTCGCACTGCTATCGGAAAATATCTCCGAACGGCGCTGGACGTCGCCGAGCAAGCGCGGGGTACATACGGCACCAAAATCGCACTAAGTCTGGGCCCCTACGGCGCGTGCATGATCCCCGGACAGGAATACAGCGGGCGCTACGACGCGGAGCATGCTAGTGAGGAAACCCTGTTCCAATGGCACCTGGAGCGACTGCGGCTATTTCTGGAGGCGGATGAGAACCTGGCGGAGAGAGTGCAGTATGTGGCGTTTGAGACGCTGCCGCGGTTGGATGAGATTCGTGCGGTGCGGAGGGCGATCCGCGCGGCGGGCTTGGATGTTCCCTTCTGGGTGGCGTGTGTGTTCCCTGGGGAGGAGGCTACGTTGCCCGATGGCAGTTCGATCGGGCAGGTTGTGCAGGCTGCGCTTGCAGAGATGGACGGTGCAGCGGTGCCGTGGGGGGTAGGCATCAATTGCACCAAGATCTATAAGCTGGATGGACTGGTTCGTGAGTTAGGCGAGGAGGTAGCGAGGGCTATTGGCACGGGCCAGATAGGGGCTGTTCCGAGTTTGGTGCTGTATCCGGATGGTACCAACGGAGAGGTTTACAACACGACCACGCAGACGTGGGAGAAGCCGGAAGGGTATACAAGTGATGAAAGGGTATGTGGTTATCCGCTCTTCAAATACTTAATTCTGACAAGGGTAGGGTCCGTGGGAATCCCAGCTCGCGCAGGTTGTCACGAATGCTCGCGCAACGGGCCCCTTCACTTCGTTCCTGGTTGGAGGCTGCTGCAAAGCCTCTCACAACGATATTCGAAAGCTGGCGGAGCAGCTCAAAGCCCAGTGATCGATTCAACGAGGAAGATGTTCTATACATTATTGGGTATCACCTCTATGCATCTATATAGTATATACAAAAGACAAGCACTTCAGAAAAGCCAATCGACGATGCGACGCCACCATGTCATCGGCCTGTGTTTCTCGATGATCTCTCCCTCCTGGAGACGGCCAGACCATAGATCGATATTGGCCGCGCGAATAAACTGCTACTGTTAGCTACGTTTTCGAAATGCAGAGACTGAGACGAACCTTGGTGCGGTGCCACAACTTCCACCCGATGATTGGGACAATGAAGATAGGAATACCGATATACGAAGCGACAAAGTTGGAGGTATCCCAATTGCCCTTGAGGAAGACGGGGAATCCGGCCACGAGGGTGATGATGGTGGATCCGATGAATCCCACCCACGCCGCATACGGCTGCAGAGGACCTTTCCAAGGCAGCGTGTCGCGGTGGACGCCCTGCGCCTTGAGCGCGGCATAAAAGCGAATGTAGCAGAAGGAGAGCGTGGCCCATGCGATCAGACCAGCAACGGTGCTGAGATTCAGGAGCCAGGCGAAGGCTTGTGCGGCGCCACCCGATCCAAGACCTGCCCTGTTAGCTATTGCACTATCAGCGGAGTTGAAAAGACTTACTGAGATAGGCCAATGGGCCAAACAGCCAAGCGGCGATAACAGCCACATAAGGGACACCCTTCTTGGTCACCTTGCCAAACAGCTGGGGCAGCTGGTGGTCGGTCGTCATGGCCACGATCATCCGCGACCCGACCCAGCAGTACGAGTTGCCGGCGGACCAGGCAGAAATCAGGATACAGGCGTTGACAATGGACGGCAGAGCGTTGATGCCGGCCTGGCGGATGGCGATAACCCAAGGAGAGCTGTTTGCATTTCCAGTTCCGGAGACGAGGTCGGCGTTTCTGGGATCGACAATCATGCCGATGAGGAACGCGCCGAGGACGTAGAAGAAGGCAATACGATAGGTGACGCGTTGGGCGGCCTTGGGAATCGCCCGGTGCGGGTCAACCGACTCGGCCGCGGTGATGACGACGGTCTCGACGCCGATAAAGCTGAAGGAGGCGTTGACGAAGGCAGACAGGAAGCCCAGGAAGTGGCCGGTAGATCCGGTGATGCCGTTGTAGTTGGTCCAGGCGCCGGGATTGTGCCAGTAACGGAAGCCGATGGCCTCGTGGTTCGGTCCCCCGCCAGAGGTGATGACAATGGAGACAATCACCAAGCCAACGAAGCAGAGCACCTTGATGCTACCGGCGAGGACTTCTGTCTCGCCGTAGAATCGCACACTCATGAGATTGATCGCCAGAATCAGCACCAGGCCCACAGTGATGACCACCGCGGGCGTGATGTCCGTCCAGTAGGAGACAATCACCGCAGCCGCAGACACTTCTGACGCGATGGCAATGGTGTAGCAGTAACCGTACGAGATAGCCAGCGAGAAACCAACAGAGGGATCAATGAAACGTGTCGCCCAGTGCGGGAAAGATCCGGCGGTGGGCAGCAGCGTCGCCAACTCGGCGATACTCTGCATCACGCACCACAGCACCAGACCAACCACTGCATAGGCCAGTAGCAAACCAGCAGGACCAGCTTTGGCATACGCCGCACCTGTTCCCACGAACAGACCAGTGCCGATACCCCCGCAGAACCCGATCATCGTCACCTGGTAGTTCTTCAGGCGGCGCTGGGTGGCACCCCGGCCACCAACATTGAGCTGCAGCTCATCCTTCTCAGGATAGGGCGTAACCTCTTCCCCGAATGGCCGGGAACGATCCGTCTCAATCTTGGAGTCGGATTTCTCCAAGGTGTGGTCGGTGTGGGAGATCATGTCGTGTCGGTATGCTGTGTCTCCCCACATGCACAACCAATTTAGTTATAGAGGAGATGTCAAGATTCAAGAATGTTTGCCATGGGGAAAAGATGGCGGAGAAAATCTTTTAGTACTCTGGCCGGGAGCCCGCAATCACGACATCGGGGCATACCGTCGCGCCATTGGTGGCTGCCTTCTCCACCGCCGGCCATGATTATCAAGATTCGGTCTTATTGCGGGTTCTCGGCTGCTTTCCGCTGTCGCTTTGTCTAGGGTTTTACTCACACATGGCAGAACTGCAGAGCCTCTTATTGTTGTGAGATTGTAAGTCTATAACTAGCATAGGCATAGCTCATAGCTCAATCTCTAGATGGACTGCAGCAACTGCTAAACTGATAAGTGTTAAGCTGGAGTTGTCTCAAGACTGCGCATCCTGCAGATTAGTCAGCGACCTGTCCCCTACCCGATCAAGCTTTTCCCCGAGATCGGAATTGCCACACCAAAAATGCCTAGGATAACTTTGCAAAAAGTTTATAAGGAACGCCACCCAATTTCTCCAGCAATAATTCACGCATGTTAGTCAGGTACATGACTCCATTGAGCGCTCAAATTGCTACTGAGACTGATATGAGATAAACTTTTAATGGTTAAGACTTTCAAACACGTCCATAATTGTATTAGTACTACTCTCACTAGCTAAATTGCGTATTGTGCAAATGCATATATATACTTTCTCAACTTAGTATGGCATCATTTTGGTGCTTAAGGTCTCATTTATGGCTTACATCGCGTTATATTTCTCAGGCAGGTGAGAGCTCACTGGATACAGGAAGGATACCTATGACAATCAGATGTTACTTAATCTTATTAGACGACATGCATGAGAACTATGTTGGCATCTGTAGCAACAGCCGCATTCTGTTATGGCCCACGAGTATGCCATCCTAAAATCAAGTATACACAGTCTCTTTCACCGTCTATAACTATATCATCCACCATCTACTTCTTTTCTGGCGCCAGGCCCGGAGGGGACAATGGAATGTCTTCAACAGCCTTCTGGACCGTTGGAGCTTTCCCCACAATTTTGGACAGCTCTTCTGGTGGGCTCGCTTCCTTTTCATCGCTACTACGTGCCTCTCTCCATCGATGCCCCCATCTAAATACAGCCCACAGTCACGGACTGAAAAGAACCCACAGAAACGCAATAATCGTGGCCGTCCAACCAATCCCGATGCGCTGGATAACTGGATCCGCAACCGCAACGGCTCCTGCACCCAGCAGACACCGGAACAGGTTGTTCGCAGCGACTGTAGTTGCAGGGCTCTGCCGATGGAGGTCCACAATCAATGTACTCAGTGAGCTGAAGGCCCCGGATGCCAGATGCCCCGTGAAGAAGAGCATCACCACCGGGCCGGCCAGCGCAGTCTTATACTCCATGACCCAGCCGTAGGCGATGATACACAGACACGCGCAGTAGACCAGTGGGATCGTCACGGCCAACCGGGCGACCTCGATATTGAAATGCTGGATATCCTGCTGTCGGTTCTTTTCGATCGGGAGATCCTGGCGTCGGGCTTCTCGTCGAAAGTTCCAGTCCAGAGTCCGTCCGACCGTCCAGCGGGAGGTCAGGCTGCCTATTCCCACAGGGAGGTAGCACAGTCCGATTTGGATAGAATTGAAGTTGAATCTGCTTTGCAGCTGGGAGGTCAAGGTGCTCAAGACGGCCATGTAGCCGGAGAACAATAGCGAGCCGTAAATCAGAAGGATGAGTGCTGTCTTGTCGGTTGCGATGAGGGCAGACGCGAACGGATTGGCGCGTCGACGCCGTTTCTCGATGGTTTGATAGTCTGGCTCTGGCTTTTGCTTTCGGGCTCCCCATTTCTGCATTAGAATCTGCCATACAGACTGGTTCCACTGGGCAGCAGGGACAGAGCCGTTGCCCACAACCGCGCGGCAGGTTTCAGGCAGGACAATAGCAACGATGGTCCCAAGGACACCACTGAAAATGACCAGAAACCAAAAGACAGCTCGCCAGCCCAGGTAATGATCCAATAAGCCCCCGATGATCGGCCCCAAGGCAGGCCCCAGGGTCACGCCCATGCTCGCGTACCCTATGTATTTGCCTCGCTCTGCTCTGGTTGACAAGTCAGCGACGACTGCGCTTCCTAGTGCAATTGTCCCACTGCTGCCTGAGCTCTGCAGGCAGCGGAGGACCAAGAGTGACGCGTAGCTATCCTGTACTGCGAGGCCTATATTAGCGGCTAGATAGATGGTGAAGCAGATTAGGTAGGCGGGTCGTCGGCCGTGAGTATCTGCAAAGTTCGCTATAAATGACGGAGCGATTCCTTGGAAGATCTACCAGTGTCAGTACTACTCCTTTGACTGCTCCCTCTCAATGAGTCGGCTTCCTACCAGGTAGGTTGTGATGGTTATGTTGATCAGTGAGATGGACACATTCAGATCCTTTGCGAGATTGTTTAGAGCTGGAAAGTAGATGCTGCTAGAGATGGGAGAGATAATGGCTGCGAATGAGACCAAGAGCATAATGAAGATCTTTTCGCCTTCTGGCAGTATGCAGTATGGTGGCCTGTTTCTGTACTGGTGTCTGTTGATGTAGCAGGCGCGGAAGCATGTACCCCAGTGACATCCATTTCTGATCGAGGACATAGATTCTTTTTTTCTGTTGTCTCCTCCTGGTGCCGCCTAGCAGCAATTACGGCAATCGTGGTGATCTCGTTGTCCGCTGCCATGTGTCGGCCTCCTTCTCGTTCAGTGACTTTGATGTCAGTTGCATGTTCAGCAGCCGAATCGCCATGGTCTCCCGACAGGCCACAATTCTTATCCATATCATGGCTTATCTCAGGCATACTGAGATGTCCTTTGTTGATGTTTGATGTATCTGGTACTTCGACATATGAAAACATACTTTTATATACCTACCTGTAATAGTGTGCAGGTTCCGCTTAGCCAGCCGGAACCGGCTTGGGCGCCTATTAGCCGATTACCGGTCCACTATGTATAAGGAAGTGTTGACATGCAATCAAGTGTCATAGCAAGTCTACTAGTAGCCATATGGACTAGGATACGTTCGTCCTAGGCTTGTTGGAGTGTCCACAATCTGTTATTTTTTCTTCATGGAGAGGCTGGATTCTATAAACACGATTATATTCTTTAGGCTCCTTTCAGAAATACCCAAATAGACGTGTTGTGCTTGTACACTATTTGAACTGACCAGATTTCATTTCCTGTTCCAAAATATACCTTGCCGGTCAAGGGCGAACCGCAATTTCTGTGCCTTCCAAATAAGGTCCAAGCGGAGGTTCTGCGAAAATTGATCATTCTCAGAGATCTTGATGTTATCTGCCTTGAGAATTACCTGATCTATGATTATTTCCTTGAGTTTCTCAAGTTCTGAGTTGCGTACTTCCCTGGCAGTCGGAGGATCTCCGATGAATGAGTAGCACACTTCCAGCACCCAATCGAAGTGTGACTCTAAGGCCAACAGTTGCTCATTCGCAGTTTTGAAAGGTCTGAGATCAGGGGCGGACGGTGCCCTAGAAGGGGAAGGTAATGCAGTCTGGTCAACGCTAGCATTCCCAGTTCTGTCTTTACTTTTGCCTTTGTTCAAGGACCCAGTCTGGGTCCTGCCTTCGCCGAATTGATGCAGCTCCTCATGCTGTCTGCGTCTGTCTTGGGAGTCGCTTGTATCATGACTCTCGCCTGCGCCGAGAACTTCACAATAGATCGTTGACTGTGATTGAAGTCCTGCATCTCGGCAAGAGAGCGAGTTATCTTCCAACAGCTTGCCCCTGTGGAAGAGCTTTATGCAATCGGGGCTGGCGGCTTGTGCTACTTCCATCGCGTGTTGTCTCAACTGCTTGATATCTAGGACTCCATTCCTTATGGAGGATGATTGGAAATGCAGCACGTGCCTAATGCCGCCAAGATAGAGGGAGAGTGTATCGGCATGATCTCCCCACTTTTCACGAAAGTGCGGCATATTATAAATCCCCCATTCTTCAACAGGACGGCGCATGGAGAATTCAACCTCCGGATCCATCATACAATAGCGGTTTAGGAAATCAAGGCTTAAAACCGCACCCATCTTCTCCACCGCGGACTGAGTCTCCTCAGATGGAGCATATCCTGGCCCGATAACCTTGCCAGACACCAGTGGGTGATGTACAGGCTGGAGAATGACCATGGTTATCTTGAACAAGCAGTTGATTGTATCGCATAGAGAATGATAAATCATTTGCATCTCGGTCCCATCACCATCATCCTCATCCTCATCGGTATCCGCATCAGACATGACCTCCTCAGCCGTATCATCTAAGACATCCTGCATATCGGTAAGAGCTCGTTGCAGTCGATGTAGGATGCGGAAGAGCTGCTCGCGAATATAAAAGGTATCACGCAACCGGTTCTCCAGAGATGGCAACTGTGCCTCCTCTGCCCAGATCCGGAGTCGACCGAGCTCATCTTCCCAGAGAACTAGCGGTACCTCATCGTCATATGCCATTAACCGGGAGGACGACGTCAGACGACTCAACTGGTGCACACATGACTCATACAATGACGATGTTGAGTTAGTCATTTTATAGATTCATGCTTCCCTCGTTGCTCAGGTCGGTTGGATGATATTAACCACTTTGTCAAGTGATAGTGAATGAAAGTAGCCATGAACCTTGCTCCTTGCTTTGTGCGGGGTAGTTGCAGATGGACAGTTGTCAATAGCCTCAGCCTCAGCCTCACTACTAATCTCTAAAATGATTTTCCTCACTGTGATAATTGATTCCACTTGGCAAAATGGTGACTGGAATTGAGGCCACTGGCGTCGTGCTGGCTCTCCTACCCTTACTTGTTAACCAACTTGATAACTACGTGCAGGGCTTGGAGACGCTCAAGAGCTTTAGAGCAAAGAGATACCTGAGAGAGTTGGAGAGCTATCGCACTAATTTGGGAACACAAAAAGTTATTTTCCTCAACACGTTGGGTCTCGCATTGAGGGACACTCTGGTAGACGATAAATCCATCATCAAAGCGTGGATCAGAAATCCACAGGAGGACAAATGGGTGGGACGGGTTATCCACGAGACACTTCAAACGAGGCTTGGGCCGAGCTTTGAGCCTTTTATGAGGACAACAGGGGAACTGTCCAATTTATTGGAGGACTTATCCAACAAATTGGGTTCAGATCAAGACACACGTCCGGTTGGTTGCCCTGAGTCAAACGTGTCGACCCATTATCACTGCTGACCCATGCCTGCACTAGTTGGGCTCTGAGTCCGAATCTTTCATCAAGAGAAGTGTCAAAAAGTTCCGCGATATATTCTCAAAAAGCATATATGCCGGCCTCCTGAGCCGCATCCACACTACAAATACCATCCTGAAAACACTGGTAGACCAGTCCTTTCAACACCACACGAAAGACAACGACAAATGGAAGTTACGACAGCCACTCTCAGTGCAGAAAAGCCGGCGAAAATTGGCCCTAAGTCTCTATAGTGCTATTTTGAATGGAGACTGCTGGAATTGCCCTTGCAAAGACCGGCATTCTATTCGTTTCGTCCTCGATATTTCAGTACCGGACTTGCTTGGAACGCCACACCAGCCTTCAAATCATACATTTCGAATGACGTTTACGTCGAAGAGATGCACTACCTCGGCCGACGCTAGGAGCTGCTGGCACGAAGTTGAGGCTGAGTCAATTGAGATCTCAGATCCAGCCTCAACATATTGTACGTGCCCTTGTCCCAGCAGAGCACAGCTGACACCGAGCGACACGAATAAACAAAAAGCGAAACCAAGCTGTCAACTCAACCATTCTGAGCTGAAGGCCCGAGACCCCTTAGGCAGTAAAGGCGAGACCCCAGTACCCACGATATCAGACCTTTGCTCCACGATATTTGCCGTCAGCTTTCATGATAAGCAACGAGAACTCCTTGGCTGCATCGCGGACAAAAGATACCGGCACCATATGTACCATGTCCGGAGCATTGCTGATGACCTACAATCACATTCACAATCCCTTGAGGAACTCATAGCAACTTCGTCAACATTTCCCCAACCTCTGCTGCAAGGCAAATACATATTCAGTCGCCGTGATCGACTAATTCTCGCCGTGAACCTTGCATGCAGTGTCCTGCAGTTCCATGGCAACTGGCTGCGCAAATATTGGAGAGCACGGGACATCAAGTTCATGAAAGAGAAATTTGACCCATCCGAACACCCATATGTCGTGTGTGACATTGCAGGCGAGCCGAGTATGGACGAGAATAAGGAATCATCACCGCTCATACGGAGCGAAGTTCTCTTTCCCCTGGGGCTGATTCTCGTCGAACTTTCGCTGTGTCGGAACCTTGAATCATTGCGTACACTGGAAGACGCCGATCCTCTGGAGGCAGTGGCAAACCTCAAAACTGCTGCTCGGTATCTTCCAGTTGTGGAAATGGAGAGTGGGTTGGGGTACGGTCAAGTGGTAAAATGGTGTCTCTTCGGCTCAGATACGGTAGATACGACCTTGGAAGACGAGATTATGCAGGAGAAAGTATTTGAAAATGTAGTTGCCAGGCTGGTTGAGAACCTATGGGACTTTTCAGGGCCCCAGCTGAGGAAGTTGGAACTGACTGGATAATGGGAAACCGTCCATCTTCTGGCGAGGCGATGAACTTGTGCCTCATGGTGTATTAGAAGCGGGAATTTCAGCTCAAGTTTTTTTTATTTTGCCTTTGGATAATTCACTGTCGATTTACTACTAAACTTAGGGCGGACAAGGCAGCCAGGAGGCCACATGACCCGACCGTGCCCAGAATGAAGCTTAGCCACCATGCTCGAATGGAAATTGAAAAAGGAAGCCTAGATGGTATAGGAGATGCAGTGCATGTAGGACTCTTATACTAGAGGCCAACCTATATGCCACGGTTGCCACCTAGTGAGCCTCGCTAGTAAATGGAACCTCTAGATATAGAAGGACATATGTAAGAGCCATTCCTCTACCTTTAAATAGCTAATATTAGGCTAAATCAGACTTAACTACTTCCTGTACTAAATTAATATAGTTAACTCTGCAGAGTATAGGTGCAATGAGATAGTATAAGCCCTACAATATATTATCCTAGCCTGTCTTTACCAGGGCGACCTTTAGAGGAAACTCTTCTAATACCTATAGCACTAATATAATAACCGGTTAATATCTAAATTAGAATCGACATAGCTTACTATAGGATTTATAATACGGATAAGACTACTACGGTAATTCAGAGTAACCATAGAGAAATATACATGGCTAGGGGATAGTGATAGTGATTCCCCTAACTGAGGACACTCTCATGGAGGCAGAATAAACGGGCTCAGCATTCTAGTATTCTGCATCGTCAAAGGGCCCGTGATACAGTCTATTGTGATTAAATTCCCTGTGCTGACACTTCTGTCAAGGTATTAATTGCAGGCTGCCCCGAGGCAAGATGCGCCATATCAGATCAATACAAGGTATCCAGCCGGATATAAGATTTAGCAGGATCTACCACTCCTGCACTCCCTCCCTTCTAATCACCCTCCCCACATCGGCATCCCGATCCCCCTCCAGCACAGACCGGTTTATCGCGAGACGGAGGTCGTCTGTGCCTGCGAGTCTGGCAGCGCCAGATGTCACGAAGAGGAGCCTAGGGTCGGAGCTTTTCAGGAGGAGAGGCATGAGGGAGGAGGTGAGGAGGTGCGTGCCCGTGATATTGACGTCCCAGGTCTTGTTCCACATTTGGCGTTCCGTCATTGTGGTGTTGGCTTGTGCATCGAACCAGGCGCCTGAGATTTTAGAATGCGTGTATCAGACAGAGGACGTCAAGAGACGCACCTGCGTTATTGACGAGCGCATCGAGTCTCCCAAACTTGGCGCTGATGTCTTCGTAGGCGTGCTTGATCGAGTCGTCGGATTCGAGGTCGATCTGAAGGGGGGAGAGCTGGCTTTGGGACTTTGGGAACTCGTTTTGAATGGTCCTAATTGCGCTGTGGACTTTGGCTGGAGATCGTCCGCCGACGATGATGCTGTAGGTTTGCGTGGAGTCGTAGAGGGCCCGGACGACCTGGAAACCGATTCCGGTGTTGGCGCCGGTGATGAGGACGATCTTGGGGGCCATCGTATTCAGTTCAGTTCAATACTCATGAGGAAGTATATATTATCGTTCTTTATCTCAGCGCTCTCATCTTAGATATACATCCATAACTCCGCACTACGTCCGTAAACCCCGGTAGAGTAAACATCCAACGGATATATGGGCTTATGGTGGATGTCAATCCATATCACTTGTGAAAATGCAGCCAGGAACCTCGATACCATGAGTGAAGTTCTCGAGTATCCCTTTCCCATCCAACAAGTCATTCCATTTATGATACCATTCCTGCGGTTGCGCCGTCGGAGTGTGTTGCTGAGGGTTTCGCTCGATCATGGATAGCTATGCTCGTCTATTGCTGTGATAAAGTGAATTACCTTGTAGAGGGCTTCGATGATGAAGCTTTCGAGCTGGTGATTGGGCGATAGGTCGGTAGCGATAAATTTCAGGGTAAGGGTTGGAAGCTCGAAGTAGGGCTCGGAATGGGATATGGCGAGCGGTTAACTTCTGCCTGGAAATGAGGACGGCCTATCTCTCAGAATTTAGGTCTTTCCACGATTATTCTCTGTAGCTGCATGGTATTAATTAAGGAGTATCACTACATCACTACTTAACTCGTACTATAGTTGATTCCTCGGGTGTTGCTTGAACCCGACCAGTATAGCGAACTCGGGCGTTTCTACCTTCCGACCGGCCATTTCTGACACGAGTCATCCAAAATGACCCCTGAGCGAGGAAGGTTTTTTAAATATAAATAGAACGTCTTGTCCATGATCATGTATGTCTCAACTCGATATTTGTTTCAATTCTCTCTGCCTATCTCCAAGTATAGTTATCCCTGACTGCGAGGAAACTTACCTTGCACTGTCATGACGAAATCCGAAACCTCGAGGGCTCCTCAACAGGAGGAACAGACTGGATATCTATTAGAAATGAAGACAACAGAGCGCAGTGAGACGTGCGATGATGGAGAAACCAAGCGTGCTACGAGCGATATGGACGACACATATCAAGAACAATCGGCCGCCAAAGTCATACTTCTTCTTGTCTCAATCTTGATTAGCATGTTTCTGGTTGCTCTAGATCGAACGATCATCTCAACGGTATAGCGAGCTACGAACAGAACCCGACAGAATATTAAGCTGACTGGCAAGCAAGGCAATTCCTGAAATCACAAATGAATTCAACTCCCTCCCCGACGTTGGCTGGTACGGAAGCGCGTATCTGCTGACATGCTGTGCATTCCAACTACTATTCGGAAAGATCTATACGTTCTACCCCGTGAAAGCGGTTATCCTGTCTAGCATCCTTCTGTTCGAACTTGGCTCTGTCGTTTGTGGCGCTGCGCCCAGCTCTACGGCTTTTATTGTTGGACGAGCTCTGGCTGGTATTGGTGCCGCAGGAATCTTTGCTGGGTCGGTGAGTGGCCCTTTTTCTGTCAAAGTGCAAGTGCTGACGGCCTAGGTTGTATGCGTCGTCTATGCTGTTCCTCTTGAGAAGCGTCCCAGGATTCAAGGACTTTTCGGGGCCGTCTTTGGTGTGTCCTCGATTATAGGCCCGCTGGTTGGTGGTGCATTTACATCGAGAGTAACCTGGAGATGGTGCTTCTATATCAATCTTCCGTTCGGGGGCCTAGCGATGGTCGCTATTGCATTTTGTCTCAAGGTGCCTGACAGAACTACGACCAAGGTCCCATGGACGGAGAAACTAAAGCAGCTTGATGTCCCTGGAATGTGTTGCTTGATTCCCGGTGTAGTCTGTCTGGTGCTAGGGCTACAGTGGGGTGGGCAGAAATATGCTGTGAGTTCTCAGACAGCATCTTTGACATCTGTACTGACAGAAACTGCAGTGGAACAATGCTCGCATCATCGCCTTACTAACGCTCATGGGCGTCTTGCTGCTTGCTTTTGTGGTTGTGCAGGTACTTCTGACAAGGACGGCGACTATTCCTCCGCGCATCTTCAGACGGCGCAGCATCTTCGCCGGAGCCTGGGCGACTCTCTGTGTAGGAGCATCGCAATACATATTTAGTAGGCATAAACAGAACCCCATGGTGTACCTAGACTAACATTGACTAGTCTATTTCCTCCCAATCTGGTTCCAATCCATCAAGGGTGTCTCCGCCGTGGACTCTGGTCTTAGACTCCTGCCTCTGATGCTCTCAATGGTCCTCGCGTCCATTTTCGGTGGCGTCACTACCCAGAAGATCGGATACTACACCCCCTTTGCAATAATCGGATCCTGCATTATGGCGATTGGTGCTGGGCTCCTCACGACGCTGCAAATCAACACCGGCCACGGAAAATGGATAGGCTATCAGATCCTCTATGGCTTCGGCATGGGGATGTGCTTTCAGCAACCCAACCTCGCGGCGCAGACCGTCTTACCCACAAAAGATGTGCCTGTCGGGATTGCAGTCATGTTCTTCAGCCAGCTGCTTGGTGCTGCGGTGTTTGTCCCTGTGGGCGAGAATGTCCTGGCTAACCAGCTTCTGCTGAGGCTGTCTGGGGTGCCGGGAATAGACTCCAATATTGTTACCATGGGCGGTGCGACATCGCTATTGAGCTCGGTTCCTTCGGATCTCCGGGGGGCAGTATTGACGGCTTATAATGAGGCGCTGCGAAAGGTGTTCCAGATTGGGTTAATCGTCGCATGTTTGGCCATTCTGGGGTGTGCCTCGCTTGAGTGGGTGAGTATACTCAAGAAGCCGGCGGCGAGTCCTGGTGCCGAGACTGGTGATGCCCCCAAAGACGAGCGATAGCCACTGTCTGATGGCCTTCCTCGAGATGATCTGAGATTCTCCGCTTCTTTTCATTGTCGGAGCCATAATTATATTGTAGACTGTTGAATATAGCTAGAGTAGATATAACAAAAATCTTCACTCCCAAGGCATGTTGGGAAACTGTCAATGTTCTCTACATCTCCCCTATGCATCACACTCAAGGTCATCCGTGATTTCGTGGCAGACCGGAAGTGACAATTTTCATACAAACGCTATTTTCCCACAGGCAGATGCCTAGACACACAATAGGCTACTATGTGTTTGGGAAAATCTATCCACCAGAACGGCTCTACCCAGGGACCGAAAATACGTCCAAGAGTTGCGGTAGCCATCCTTTAAAGGATCCTTGTAGGTGATGCCCTGCAGCCCTAGTTAACCAGTTAGCTAGCTTATGAAGCGTGTGTATTTCAAGAAGACTGCAGCGCATACTCCTCCTACCTGCTATTTTCTTAGCTATGAATTACACTGATATTTGTGTGTTCTTCTCTTTCTCTCGTATTCCTCGGCTTGGAACTTTTAAAGGAATCGGACTTAGGGCTATTTAAGAATATTTGACAATCCCCAGCATATACCTAGTCGTAACGCACAGGTCTACGGAATAACCCAACGCACAGCACAGTCCAAAGTGCTAAGATCTATCCAGAGGTACTGGATATTAACAGAGATATTTTCTTTCAGAAACAATTTCAGTCGAATTATTCTATTTGGCAGGATTATGATGCATTGCTCCAGACAATCACGTGATATGGACGTCGGGCGGCTCGGGCTTTACTAACTCCCGACGTCATGCTCACCCACCTTTCATCCTCGCAAGAAAGTGCGGAGCCCAACCTGTCCATCTACACAACAGTTGATGACATCAACTTCATCCTTATTTTCAGTCTTGGGCTTGTGGAGACTCATCATTATTTTTCTATTTGAAAAATGTCCACACCAGAGCAAGGCTCGCCGAGGTCGCCCTTGCGAGTGGAGACAAGGCCTACACGGGTGCTGGCCTGCGTCCTGTGTCAACAACGCAAGGTCAGATGTGACCGTGGATTTCCCTGCGCCAACTGTGTGCGAGCCCAAGCGCAGTGCGTGCCTGCAACTCAAGTCCGACGACGTCGCAGGTTTCCTGAGAGGGAACTGCTGGAACGTCTTCGGAGGTATGAAGATCTGCTGCGCCAGAATAATATACAATTTCAGCCCTTACACCATTCTGTTGTGGAAAAGGCGTCTTCTACCAGAGAGGATAGAAGCTATGGTAGAACTAGTGATGTAAAATTGGAGCGAGATTCGCAGGAAGAGGCGACCCCGGGATCAGAGACAAAATATGAGGCCAAGTCAGCTTTCCATCGTAGTGATCAAACTCCAGTGACTGACTTTCTATAGGAACTTCTGGAGTGTTATGAATCAAATGGTGTGAATACCCTGAGACTGATCCTGAAATGCACACTGACGTAGATGGATAGTCTGTTGATCCCGAAGAGGGTGATACTAATGACAGCGACAGAAGTAACGAGCATGATACATCTCGCTTCGGTGTCCGTGAGACCATCTTCAAAAAGACCTGGGAACTGGTGTATGATGGTGGCAGTCAAACCCTTCTGTTTGGTGCACGCAAGTTTGATCTTAAAGTGTCAACATTGCACCCAAAACAGGTCGAGATCTTCCGACTCTGGCAGATCTATCAGGACAATGTCAATCCGCTACTAAAAGTGACCCATACTCCTACTTTGCAAGCACGTATCATTGATGCGGCCGCTGATGTGGCTAATATAACACCGACCCTGGAAGCACTTATGTTCAGCATCTATTGCCTCGCCATTCTCAGTCTGTCAGAAGACGAGTGCCGGGCCCTGTTTGGATCGTCAAGGGACGATCTTCTGAAAGGCTACCAATTTGCCTGTCAGCAAGCCCTCTTGAACTGCGAGGTGCTACGCACAAGTGACCGTGACTGCTTGACGGCCTTGTACCTTTACCTGGTAAGCACAGCCAAATCGCACCAGGCAAACCACTGACGCTTCCAGATCTCCGCCAGACAGCAAACGGATCCTCGCTCCCTGTCGCTAATATTGAGCGTCGCCATCCGTATTGCACTGCGCATGGGTATCCATTCCGAGTCCAGCTATAGCAGGTATACTGTTCTAGAAGGCGAAATGCGCCGCAGATTGTGGTGGTCGCTCGTCATGTTCGACAATCGGATTTGCGAGATGGCTGACCCCAAGTCCACGAATCTGCTTCCCACTTGGGACTGCAGGACTCCCCTTAACGTGAATGATTTTGACCTGCAACCAGAGATGAAGAGCAGGCCAGCCACACATGGCAATCCCTCCGAGGCACTCTTCGCCGTCGTGCGCAGCGAGACGGGCAATTTCGTGCGCCGCAGCTCGTTCCATCTAGACTTTACCAACCCAGCATTGAAGATCGTGGCCAAGGAGGACCCTCTTCCTGCGGCTGGTAGTCTGCCTGCTTTCGAAAGGATGATCGAGGAGAAATATTTTGCTTCCTGCAACCCCGAGAACCCTCTTCATTTCATGACAATCTGGTCAACACGGGTTCAACTGGCGAAGAATCGTCTTATGGATCATTATTCCAGGTATTCGTCCGTACCGCAGACAGAGAGGCAGCGCGACACGGTGGTCGCCCACGCCCTGTGCATGCTCGACTGTGATACAAAGCTTATGAACTCGCCTCTGACAAAAGGTTACCAGTGGTTCCTTTTTATCCACTTCCCGGTTCCCGCGTATTTCCACATTGCTCAAGACCTGAAAATGAGACCTACGGCAGGACACGCAGAACGATGTTGGACAGCCCTGAGCGATAATTACGCCGCTCGCCTTGGAGCCTCGAAGAAAACGAAGAATCCACTTTTTGAGTACCTTGGGCGGATTCTTCTACAGGCTTGGGAGGCACGCGAGGGTGTACTAAGAGACCTTGCCAAGCCGCTGGAGCCACCATACATTGTGTCCCACATGAGATCCAATATGGGTCAGGAGTCAACCAGACCGACAGGGAATGCTGAGCAGTCTACCAGTTCATCGACGGCGAATATGAACGGCAGTTCGATGCCTAATTTCATGGACTTTGGTGGTTATGGCTTCCCGTACGGGCTGGAAGAACCAGGCTTTTTCGGTACGGGATATCCGAGTACAAATGGGCATCCTGCTATGGACCTTGACTTCGACCAACCCGACTGGACTACGTTCGACTCGTATTCGTTGCAAGGGCGAGGCTGGTAAGGCTGATACAACTTCTCCGTTTCTTCTGTCTATTTTCTTGATCTGGGGGTTATGCCAGAGGGAGTCAAACTAAGCCAAGTGGCTTTGAAATAGTCGACACTTGACTTTGCCAAATGCTCATGGTAGATATGAATCATATGATAGAGCAAGAAAGTCCCCCTAAAGTGGGATAACTGAATATCAGTATCTGTTTGTGGATCAAATTGGTATTGTAGCAGTCGCATCTTGAACCCTCTAATCCCTGAAATTGACTTGGGAGATTATCAGAGAGATCAAGTTGTCAAGCATTACATACTAAAACAGCAAGATACAACCCAAAGTCAAGGTCATCTGAGGCTATAATCCAGACCTTCAGTCAGGAGCTGGCTGCACTTCTTGAACGATACCATGCAGTAAACCTTAGGTTGTCACTGTTTAATGCCATAGATAAGGCGCAGATTAGGCGGGGACAAGGTACTTGAGTGTGTCATTATATATGAACTAGCGCGTCTGACACACAGCATAATGTATTCAATCGTGATAAAGGCACAGTTGCTAGCCTACAGCCACCATCGGGAATCGCCCTTTCCAGGTTCTGCAACCTGCCAATACTGCTCGAAAAGCTCAGCACTCCATTCGCAGGCAGTACCTCCGCCTGGTAACTCGGCACTGCTTGAGGGAATGGTATTAGGAGCCAAGGGGGCTGTAGCGGTCTCTGTGGCTACACTGGCAAGGCCGCACATGGCAGACGCGTGTCCAGTGGACGGATCGCATTCTGTTCTTGGGATGGCTGAGAGAAGGGGCGAGCACTCCTCTGTGCTTTTCGTTGAGCTGGACACCTGAGGCATACCAGTGTTGTGGACTGGGTCATCGGTGACCACTGTGGCCTGTAGATCAGACTGCTCAGGGCTGTTGTGAGAAGTGGGTGATATCATCATAGGCACGTCAGGAGCCGCCTGCATCCTCTCCCGCACAGTCAATGCTTGGGCTCGAAGTTCCTCAATGTGCCGCCAGCGACGATCACGGCGGATGTCTGGGTTATTGTTCCAGTGGTGATAGACCTCGTCTGCCGCCTTCCACGCTGTGCCCAATCGGCCCCCCGAGGGCGCGAGACAGAGCTCCAGCAGAAGATAGGCCAGGGCGTCCCATTCGACGTAGGTCTGAAACAGCCACAACCACCGAGTCCCTCTCTCATACTGTCGCAATCTGGACGCATGGTGGAGGACATCCTCACAGACCTTCCAGTAGTTGCTCCGCACAGGCATTACCAGTTTTCGATCCCTTCGTGGCTTGCATACAGCCAGTTTCAATTTGACCAAGATGAGACGAGTGATGGCAGCGGTGACGCAGTCCAGTGGTACTCCTTTATCGCAGTATGCCAGGTACTGCTGCTCTATGTGCTCTCTGAACTGGTCAATTGCCTTGCACTTCTGCCCCTCATGCAAGACAGGGTAGGAGTTGCTGGCACAAAATCTATCCGAGAACACCACCCTCCGTGCGAAGCGGCTTACTTCAAACCGGACAAGGCTAAACAGCATCTCCGTCCGTCCCGGTTGAACCTGGGGGATTTCGCTCATGCTTGGATCCAGGCTGGCATCGTTGATGTTGGAGGGAAGTTCGGTGGTGAAGGCGGACTCCATAATACTAGGCTCCAAGCCATGGTCCTCGGCCGTTCGGACGTCCAGCGTGCAAATCTGCCACCAGAGCCGGCGTCGCATTTCCACCTCGAATGGAGGGAGCCCCGTAGCCGCTCCATCAAAATGAAGCCCGATCTTCATAGCGGTTCCAATGGCTAGGCCGATTAGCGTGCTTACGTCAGGCCCATTCTCATCCCGTCTGCCGCAGATCTAGAGCAATGTGTGAGTATTACACTGATCATCTGGGGCAGGGAGAGAGCAAGTACCAGGTAGAGGCTGAACGCCTGAAGGACTATCATGTCCACCGAATTCAGGAAATTCGCTCTCAGAAGAGCTTGCTCCACTCCCATCCGATAACTTGGAGACTTCAGCATGGAAGTCCGAAAGGCGTGGGGAAAACCTACCGGCTCAGTAGCGTTGCCCTGTCCTCGTGAAACTCGCTTTGACACTCTGCCGCAGACATGGCCATGACAGTGGAGTAGTAAATTGCGAACATCAAGCATTCTATGGGGGCATTGGGCACTGGTTGACCGCGAATGAGACTGAAAACATGTCGCTGAACAGTTAGGACATGAAATATCTTGAGGACCGGGTCTACGACGTCCAGGTATGTCTGCCAGATGGCCGATATCACAGGCGGAGACGGATGGAGTGGCCCCAGTGGTAGTGGATAGCCCAGATGGAACGGGAACGAATGCCCCAACCGCCCAGCGAAAGACCGAGAAGGATGAGATGTCGGGCTGGAGCAGCGCAGGCCATGTTCGACCGCCTAATTGTACCTCATTTAGTGCCTAATGCGCGGGCTTTAGACCTGTTAATGTGTAAAGGAGGCTTACAGAGCCAACATGGTCGCCTTCGTGTTCTTGGCAGTTGTTGGAGCTAATCGGCAGACGATGGCGGACTTGCGCGAGGTCGGATTGCAGGGATTGTAGAATGCCCTCCAGTCTCTCTACGCGAGCTAACAGTGGGTCGTGGTCGGAAGATACGGCTTCTCTGTCTGTTGGTTTTGGTGGATACGTGCATTCTATGCGTGTGCGGGTGCAGTATGCGCATGGCAGGGATCGGTCACATTTGATCTTGCGGCGACGGCATTCGAGACAAGACCGTCCTGACGCAACCACCCGGCGCGGCATGGGCGGCATCAGACTGACAGTGTAAGCACTTTGACCAGTCACTGTTTTGAGATGTGTTATTGCAAATCGAGAAATGGCGAAAAGGCAGAGTAAGCTCGGGGCTGAGTTATGCGGCGCCAAGGAGCCCCTCCGATTGGCTGCAGCGGAGGACGCGGAGGCTCCTCCGCTTTGTAGAGTCGTAGATATGGCCATATGGATAGATCAATTTGTCATCACCGAGAATCAATTGATGATTGATGATCGGTAATCCTCTGGCGAAAGAAGAGTCTGTTTTTCCGAGTAACAGAAATATACTGGCCTCCTTATGCGTTGATCAAATCGCATATAAAGATGTCTTTCAGGCCCTTCGACCATTGCTCTCCAAGCACAAAGCAAAGACCAGTCCCAAGTTGTCTGCCATCCTATCTGCTTAAATATCAGATCCCCCGTATTGTATCGATTAGGGATTGACGAGATTAAGTCTCAAAACACCAACAACTATCAGAATGGCCGCCTACAAGAACGTTGCCCTCGTCGGTGTATGTGCATCCAGGAATATGATTACACTTTCGTCAACGCTGACCATCTTCATTCGATAGGCTAGTGGAAACATTGGCAAGATCATCCTCCATGGTCTTGTCGCATCGGCCAAATTCAACGTCACCGTTATATCTCGCAAGGGGAGCGAGGCGACTTTCCCTCCCGGCGTCACCGTGCGCAAGACCGACTTCTCAGAGGCCGATCTCGAGGCGGCATTCAAGGGACAGGATGTAGTCATCTCAGCCCTTGGTGCCATGGGATTTGGCGAGCAGAAGAAGATTGTCGACACTGCTGTTCGAGCTGGTGTTCAGAGGTTCCTCCCATCGGAATTCTCCGCTAGCAGCCAAGATGACGCGGTGCTGCAGTTGCTACCGCTGTTTAGACAGAAGACAGAGCTCATCGAGTACCTGAAGGGAAAGGAGGCGGAAGGTCTGTCCTGGACCGGCCTCGCCACGGCAGGGTTGTTCGACTGGGTATGGCTAAGAATAATGCACTCTCCAACCGTTGCAAAACTGATCTCTTGTGTTCAGGGACTCGAAAACGGCTTCCTGGAATTCGACATTGCAAACCGTACCGCAACTATCTGGGATGGGGGTAATAAGAGCTTCACACTCACCAATGAGAAACACCTGAGCGAGGCTGTGGTTTCCATATTGCAACATCCTCAAGACACCAGTAACAAGTACCTGCACATTGCTTCAGTTGAGACCACGCAGAACGACATCCTGGCCGCGCTGGAGGAGATCACTGGGACAGGGTGGACTGTCAATGCCACCACTACCGAGGAGCAAGTAAGCGAGGGAGTCAGGAAGCTTGGTGCGGGCGACTTCAGCGGTGCATTTACTCTCGTTCGAGCCACCTGCTTCGGGAGTATTCCGGGTCTGCGGGCGAACTATGCCAAAGATGAGACCTTGGCCAATGGTATGCTGGGCCTGAAGTTGGACTCTGTGAAGGATACTGTCGAGCGGGTCGTGCGAAATAAGCAAAACTGACTGGGCAGTTGCTTGCACGGGAGGCTTTTACAACATTTCAGGGACACACTCCGTACATGGCCACTGCTTGAATCGCTTCTACAAGTTTTATTCTGATTTGTTGCTCTCTCTATGTTCTGGACGAAATGCCTACTTTGGCTTCATTCGCTGCGTCACATCTGACTTCAGCCATGTGTGGTTTTGGGCCTTTGTAAGACAGCTCTAGTTGCATCTCAGATGAGTTGGTCTCACTCTTTATACTTAGGTTAACCTCCTGTAGATGTCTATAAAAACTAGAGAATCTTACGTCCACATTTTTGTACTCTAGCCTGCCATATCCACAACCGTTTCTTCATGACTGGGATAGGATTAAAGTATTGGGTGCGAAATGCACAGTTAGGATGTTCACATTTCAAGGCCGCAGTACCTCAAGTACTGTCACCTGCCCTATCCTTTGCCCCTGTAACTGGCTTGTGTCCTAAGCCTGGTGCTCTGGATTCTGTCGATATATATATTGGACCGTCATCCCCTACCCCCGAGCCTCAGCTTGGAACGATACATCTATCTTATGCTGCACAGATGGCAAACTGCCGCATCGTTTCAGTGTCGTTGGGGATGCTGGATTTGGTTTGAATTCTCACAGTCGTCATGAGCGTCATGCCTAACTTTGCATTTATTTCATTCGTCTTGACATAAAACCCTGAAGTTCTACTACCACAAACACCACTGTCGGCCTGACATGGGCGTCCTTCTCCAGTGGTTTGGGTAGCAGAATCACGTTCCGGACAGTGATGACTTGCTATGCATCTACCAGCCCCAGCTGCTCCAATCCGCCACTTTCCAAATATATTCCACTTGAGGACGAACGAGCAATGGGTATGATCAAGACTGGTCATCCTCTGTAACAGTAACATCCTTGATATTAATCGGACCCGCAAACCCTCTCCAAGTCCTCCCCATCAGATGCCGCAGACACAGCAAGTCTCCATCGTCCGGGTAATACAGCCAAGTCGCCCACTTGGCCCACTGCCCTTCTTTCATCTGCGTCCTCGCCCGCTGCCCGATCTTATCCTCGATGAACTCCCCCCGCCTCATCGCCAGCGGCGTCGGGAACACCCTGGATAGATAATGAGCCGTAGAGGCGACATGCGGTTTATCGAACCAGAAAAACAGCGGTGTAAGAGAAATCTTCTTTTCCGGCTGGGTCTGGATCACAAAATCACGCTTTAAGGAGGTAGTGAGTTCCCGCAGAGCAGGATGTTCCGTGACATGCGGCGACACCGCATAACGCTTCATCCGCACCGACGGGAATGAGACATATTTGACAGGCACGGCGTCATCACCCTCGCACTCACTTCCCTGCATGATTTCCAGTAGAGGTTCGAGGGGAATATCCGCCACAAGCGCCCAGTCATGCTGCTGGACCCAGACGTACGGGGTCTCGACCACCCTCAGGGCCGAGCGAACAGCCAGACCGAACCCCAGCCGGGTCGTAGGTTCGATGAAGGTGACCATGTGGTCGTCGGTCTGGGTAATGAGCAGCTCGACGCCGCCATCGAAGCCGAATTCGGCTTTTCCATGTGATTGGCTCACGGCTTGGTCTTGGCCGTCCTGGACATGATGATACGTCTGTAGGATGAGCTGCTTGATGTTGCCCTTGTACAGCTCGTAGCTCTCAGCTAGTTCTGGGCTTGCATGGCCTTTTTTTAGACGCGGCTGGGAAGTGATGCGCGCAAACGTGTCGAAGATGACGACCACGCGGGCGTCGGTCAGACCAGCGCAGTGTTGCTGGAAGGACTGTAAGACTGATGCGATGAGATCTGTCTCGGGGTTTGAAGGGGCTGGTGAGGTTGTGATGATCACCGTCAGCCGATCCGATATAGAGGGCATCGGGCTGAAAGTGGAGAGAAATGATGATCTTGTCTTGGAGAGAAATTTGAGGCAAAAGTGGCGGTCTTGGCGTCTTGGCGGATTTTTTATTCCAGTTGCCAGTTGACAGTGGACAGAAATAGAGGTGAGTACCAAGAGAAATATCAGTTCAGATGGATAGACAGCAGTCCACTCATTGTCTCCGCCAGAAAATGTTTCTGTCAATAGGTGTTGCCTCTTTTGGTAACTATAAGAATCTAGTGGATGATAGGAGTCAAAGTGCATGCATTCACTCGGACCACTATATGTTAATTTTAATTCTGAACCTGCGCTTTGCCCGGCATAGCATCTAATTACTATTTCTCTTCCTACTGTTCGTGCTGAATTATTCCAGCCTGGCAATTACGGTGGCAAGCAAAAATTGAGCTGACAAGTGAAATCATTTGTGCCAGGCAGCCAAATCCCTAACTCCGGTGGTAAGTCTCCCTCGAGTAGGTAATCCTCTTCGCTTCTCCTGTGCCTCGGTGATGTAGCACAGAGTGGTAGCTGCCTAGTGATCATTAGAATGCCCCAGTCTCCTTGTGCTGCCCGTCAAAGTCCTAGTAAGCCAGGCGGGTTCAGGGCATCCATTACACAGAAAGGCTGAATGACTGTGCGGGATTATGCTCAGTATATATCACTATCTCATGGATTACAACAGCTTCAGCGTGTGCATTTTATTGGCCACCTTTTTCTTTTCTTCTTCGAGTCGACTGGAGACAAGTAGATAATCCCCGGATCACTCTGCATCCCTAGTAGCCGCAGTTCAGCTTGCCACTCCATTTCCTGCGAGACCATCGAGAAATGTACAATTTCTCTTTCTCATGGTGACATTAAGCCGTCCTGTGCCTGTTGCTACACTCCTCACTCACTTCTCCTTAGGCGTTGCTATATTTCAAGAAGATACGCTACTTCATTGCAGGCTTGCCGCCACTATGGATGGCTCACGGCTCACTAGAGAAGAACTGTCATATTAATCCACAGTCAAAAAAGTGTCCAGACAACCATCTCTAGCTAGTAGGGATGATAGAAGTAGGGTCAAACCTGTAGGGGAAAAAACAAGAATTATACACTCTGTAATACCAGTTGGTAATAAGTAAAAGCTAACTGCACCGCATTACATGACAAACCAGGCACTATCACTCTCAAGAAATTGCACGTCCACCCACTCATCCACATACTCTTTCCGAGCTCGGATTCTCGCCAACAACAGGTGCTCAAACCAGTAAATTCCGTTCACAGGGCGATTGCACAAGCCCACAACTGCCGGACAAGACTTTCCGCCGACTTTAGGGATATCGGACAAAATCACGGCATACTGCCTTTTGGCCCACCGCACGTTGTTTGCCGGTAAGTGGAGAACAAGCGATTTGCCATCAAGGCTGCTCCCCCGGCCGGCTGGCACTCTACATTGGACCTCGCAGCCATATTTCAGGGCTCCGAATGGCATATTTTCATCGGCAAAATCCACCAGGAGTCCCGGATACCGAACTGGAAGGCCAATTTGGCCGTTCTTCTTTTCAAGGGTGACGGTCTCGCTCTCATCCGGACAGACCAGTCGAGGGGTCCGAAAGTTGAGTAACGACTTCGGAGCCCATCTGTATCCCGCCT